CAGTCACTTGAAATTGTATTCCTTTATCTGTTGTTTCTTCCTCTATTTTCTCTCTTATAACATTGTAGTATAAAAACAAGCACACTGGAAGCAAAGGGTGCGGACTACCTTCAAACTGATGAGATCCCATTATTGATTTCACTATAAACTGTCAGCCCACTCAACCAGTTTTTTGTGCTGCAGAGGAACCTCACATCTTCAGATTACAATGTTGTTTGAAACCCTCATGTTGCCTGTTGTTGCCTCGAGCAAGGAGAATTTAAAAGTAAGAAACATTTCTGTGAAGGTTTTTTGCCTAACCAAAACAACAGAAAAGTTAGTTATGCATTCTCGTTGTTAGAGTGAGGTCCACCCTGGAAATTGTGACTTTAATAACATCATGCCAACCACAGAGAGACAACTAATATAGTCTGTCTGATTGATGACGAATGACATTAATGGTGACACAATATGATGCCTCCTTTTACCAAGACAAATGGGTCATATCCACTGCAATTATGACTGCACTAAAAGCTGTCCAAGATTAATGAAGAGCTTAAAAGTTTTCCTTGAAATAACAAGCCTTCATTATGATGCACCAAACTCCCACTGGAGCTGCTGAAAATAGATAGCCAGATGGACACTGGAGTGGTTACTGTTATCTAATTTTGTTGCAAAGTTGTTAAAATAAAATAAAAGTTTGGGACATATTTCTGTTGCACACAATTGTGCCAGTTTCGAGGAATTTGGTTCCGTTTTGCCCAAATCATAATGTCTGTGGCGTGTCTCCAAACCTCTCTGAACCTTGGAGGAGCTGTGGGACTAAACAGTGGACGGCCACCAAGTTTGACAGCCACCCTTCGCTTTTTCTCTCTTTGGAAACCAGCCATAAAAAAGGCACTTAAAAAGCTGAATCTTCATAGAGTGGGTAGGAATATGTCTCTCCGCTTTTGTTGATTAATGTTGTGTCCCTCTAAGGGTGCATCCATTCAAGTCATACTCTCACTATCTGTGCCTGATAAATCTCTCTTTAAGTATGTGTGCCAGGTTCTTTAACAATGCTATATTTGCTCAGTGCCATCATTAATAGCTGGTAATAGCTCTCTAACGGAATTTGGGCACATTTGGGAGTCAAACCTCGACATTAAAGTTCTCCTTAAACCTATTTCAGGCATATAAAGCCACTGGTGCTAAACATAATTAATCAACAGACTGGGGCTCAAGGTTGTTAAGCCATGTGACACCCAGCGCTCCTGCATGCTTTGACAGGGTCGTCACATTTGAAGAGATACAGTCTCAGAAGATGAAATAGCACGCGAGTCCTGGGATCAATTCCCATTACCATAGCCATAATCGCCTGGATTGATTCCACAGCAAAAAATTATCATACCTGAGGAATGGCTCAATTTGTCCAGTGCAAATTAATGGCATCAGGAAGGGGTAAGGAGCGTGGGGGGAGGGTCTCAGAGGTGGATCATGGTCCATAAGAGCTCCGAGCAAGGAGATCAATAGGGACTCGCTGGGCCAGGCTCAGTGTCCATAATGTGATGTGTACACAATCGATAGCCTCCCACAAGCTGGCGAATGGGCCACCGGTGTAGTGTGGGATATTTTTCTTCCCAACAGCATCTCTGCTCCCATAAGCTGAGGACTGATGGGAATGCAGGGAGAGTAGTGAAGTAAGGTGTATCCGTGCGACCACAGGGCTGTCGCTGATGACAAGGCATTTATAGAGGAGTTACTGAGCCTATTGGCTGTTTCCTTTGGGAACTATAAGTAGATGGAGGAAGGGGATTTTTACAACTTCAAGAGTAGTGGTTGAGATGACAGGTGGCAGATGATAGAAAAGAGTGGCTCAAAGAGAGGCTTTAAAGGGCTCTTAACTCATCTGTATCTACTTCTCACTTCCTATTTGTGCCTCTCCAAGGATCTAATGCTACCTTAAAGGAGCTGTGGGATTCAGATTCTGGCGGCTAAAGCACAGTCATTCCCATGATACAAAGGAAATATTCCAAAATGCTACCTACACTGTTGCTGGCGCCACATTTCAAGCTGTCCCTCGAGGAACTATGCCAGCTGGTTTTTGTTTTTGTGATGACATTCATCGAGAGATTTATTTTTAAAGATGTGTTTTGTAACATGCTCAGGAGTAAAGACCAAAGAATCCAGGGAAATTCTCAAGAGGACTGTATAAAAATAAAAGTCATGTGACATGCAGTAATTCTCCCTCCTTTTCTGTCTCTCTCTCTGTCTCTTACCATCTGTCTTCCATCTCATTGGAAGTCTTGAAGCGATACAGTTTTTCCACAGCCGCTGCGGTTGAACTGGCGCAGGGAAAGTTAAAGAGCCAGGGTAGCATCAGACACTTAAAAGCACATATCTCGCCTAATCATCTGAAGACTTAACCCTTCCACTTAAGCTAATCATGACTCATGACTAGTCTTACCATAATCTAACAAGTTAAACCATTCAGAGACAAGGACATGAAAAGATGAAGAATGGACAGAAGACATTTTCGGGATTTTTTTAAGATTGGGAAAAATTCATGCAGTTGGAATGTATGATGGCAGCTCTGTGGGTAGGTAGCATTGATAATCTTACTAACATGATCAAGGTACTTATAAGATTTGAATTCTGGTCGTTTTAGCTATTTGCATTCCTCTTAAGATATCTGAAGGTGTACGGTTGAATGGAATTCCCCATTTCCTTTCCTGTCTCTGATAGATTCCTCCATTGGGTCACTTTCAGGTCAGCAGGCCTGACAGCGTGTTTCCGTCTTTTAATCCACCACTCACAGCATTTGGTGCTATATTTAATACCACCGCACATGCAAATCACGGCCAAAGACGACTGAGTCAAAGTAATTGATCTTCTTAACAACTCCCACTCAATTACAGTAGGTTAATGCAAGCCACCTTGGGATTGCTCATCCTCATGCTAAAATGCCATTTGCTGGTGTCCAGAAGCAAGGGGTGCTTAGGTGTATAGGAAGGTGAGATCACATCGGTGTGGGTCAGTGAAAACATTAATCACTTTTTCCCTCCGTCTGCCTGCAGTCTATTCATTCAGCTGTTCAGAGTGTGTTTTTTAAGGGTTCGCTTGGTCCAAAGTGGGGAACAGGACAGATTAACTCTCTCCTCTGAAGTACTTACTGTGGAACTAAATAAAGAACCATTTACTTCCAAGAACAAGTGACCTTTTGCATGTGTTTCCATGCAGTAAACCATACTCATCTTCATACTATATCCAAAAAAAATCAGCTGTGTCAGTAAACATTAATAAGCCTATAATCTAAGCAAAATCATTAGCGCATGTTCTAATCTACCCTTGGTGCCAAAGCATTCATCAACAGGGACACAAAGCAAAGGTCTTCCGGTCGAGTGCCTTGGCAGCAGGTGTTGCGCTTCACATGAGCTTGCCAAAAAGTTCAAGGGAATGGAAGAAATCTGTGTCCTTACTGTCTTCCTGCCCATATTGCCTCACTTAGCTTCTAATAGGTTTAACCTAATCAGCACCAGCGTTAATTTAGTGATAACACCTCCTCTTCAGAGCCATGAAACCCTCTCGTCTCACTTTGTGCTCCGTCTTCATCCTTTTTTTCCCCCCACCAAATGGAAGGAATTAAAGCTGTGTTATGAGCCTATAGCCACTATTGTTATCAGGCTAATGCATAGTTCACATAATGGGCTAAACCCTGAACCCTGCATTGAGCTCTGTCCCTGCATGTTTTCGTCTGCTACGGGATGTTTGCTAAATTAGGGAAGTACACATGAGGTGAAGTGACTGTCTCCAGACTGCACTGTGTAAATCTCTGTAAGATTATAAGTGCCTTCTGCAACTTAATGCAGTTTTTGATTAGTATTCATTGGGCCTCGTTTTTCTATCTTGACTGAGTCTTCAATCTCTGTTCATTAGATTGTAAAAGGTTGTGTATTGCTAAGGTCATAGAGGACTTAACACAAAAGAATGCACATTTTTTAATGAACTTGATATCAGTTGATTGTTGAAATTGTGCTGTGACACTATAGTGTAGGACAGATACTTTTCACCTGTGTGGGTTCAAATGAATCCAAGCAGCATTGTTATGAGCTATATGTCTGGCTCTAGGGTAAAGCAGAGGCTTAGATAAAATGTGTACAGGTTCTATAGAAGAACAAGGGATGTATGATAAAAGAGCAAGTAATACTGCTCACTCGAGACCAACAAGCAACGCTCATTCATCACACTTATCACATCACTGTCATACAGGCAATTCTACTTACCTTTAATGCTCACACTGTATTTTTAAAAAGACCAAACCTGTGTCAGAACATCTAAAGCCAGATTCCATCTATTAAGGTCTACGAATCCCAGCCAAGGTAAAATCTGCAGATGAAACACAACATCTTCTGCAGCGCAGGTCTGCACTGACCTCATAGGATTGTGCAGGATGTTCTTAGCGATTCCGTTACTGCCCAAAAGGAAGAGTAAACGATATCCAAACATTTCATTTCCATTGTACATTCCTTAAAGATTGAATAGAAGTTTTCAAAAAGTTACTGTACTTGATTAAAGCATTTATATTTCAAGACAGATAGAGGTAGGTATAGACTATTGCCAACAGGTGGAGCCAAAACCCTGTTATCCTTTTATGTATTGTGAATGGATCACTCACACACTCACTCTCACACACACACACACACACACACTTTACTGATCTGTTTTAATGCTGCATTCATTACAGTTAGCAAAACTGTTATTCTCTTTTTCAAGTATGAACGAAGATGTTTCCTTTTTATGAAAGAATGAGAAAGTCCTTTACGCAAAGACAGACTTCATGAGATTAATTTCAATTATACTAAATTAATTTCAGTCATTTAAAAAATGTAAACAAAGTTTCAAAGTGTATTCTATATCTATGACAAACAACTGAGATTTTATGAAGTATCAGTCATAGCATGACAATGACAGTTCTTTCACACAAACAGTAACTTTCTTGTGAAAAAGCTAACTTTCTTTTTATTTTTGTGCTTTCTTTCTAGATTCTAGCCATCATCTCGATCCTGTTCATTGTCCTTTCCACCATCGCTCTGTCTCTCAACACCTTACCAGAGCTCCAGGAAACAGATGAGTTTGGCCAAGCCAACGACAACCCAAAGCTGGCCCATGTAGAGGCTGTGTGTATCGCCTGGTTCACCATGGAGTACCTCCTTCGCTTCCTCTCCTCTCCTAATAAGTGGAAGTTCTTCAAAGGCCCACTGAATGTCATTGACTTGTTGGCTATTCTGCCCTACTATGTCACCATCTTCTTAACTGAGTCCAACAAAAGTGTTCTACAGTTCCAAAATGTGCGCCGTGTGGTGCAGATATTCAGGATCATGAGAATATTGAGGATCCTGAAGTTGGCCAGGCACTCCACAGGCCTCCAGTCTCTAGGGTTTACTTTGAGAAGGAGCTACAATGAACTGGGGCTGCTCATTTTATTTCTTGCCATGGGCATTATGATATTTTCCAGCTTGGTCTTCTTTGCTGAGAAAGATGAAGATGCCACCAAATTTACCAGCATCCCTGCCTCATTCTGGTGGGCAACCATTACAATGACAACAGTGGGCTATGGGGACATTTACCCACAAACTTTACTTGGAAAAATTGTGGGTGGTCTCTGCTGCATTGCAGGGGTGTTGGTAATTGCCCTTCCTATCCCTATTATTGTTAACAACTTCTCTGAGTTCTACAAAGAACAGAAGAGGCAAGAGAAGGCCATCAAGAGGAGAGAAGCACTTGAGAGAGCCAAGAGAAATGGCAGCATTGTGTCAATGAACTTAAAAGATGCCTTTGCCCGCAGTATGGAACTGATGGATGTGGTGGTAGAGAAAGGAGAGGACAAAACCTCCATTGACAACCACCTATCGCCATGCGGCTGGGATAGCTCAGTCAGGCACTCCTCAGAGAGTAACCTGAAATCCCCAGATAAAAGAAACCCAGAGTCCCTGCTGCAAAGCTCCCCTCAACGAATAAACATCAACACCACTGGAAGTCCCCAGCGGACAAATAGGACCCCACAGCACCTTAATGCTCAAAAACTGGAAGAGATGTACAACCAAATGACCAGATCACAGTCTTTCACCAACCTCAATACTACAAGCTCCATGAGCACTCTGAGCACAACAATGACTGCCCCTGGTTCACCCAAGAAATCTCACAGCTCTGAATTTACATTAAAGGAAGAAGTAGAACTAGAGATGAAGGAGGTACAACCCTCCCTGCCAGATAACTTTGCAAGCTGCTCTGCAAACCGAAGAAGAAAAAGCTCAGACTCAGGTGAGGCAGAAGTTGGGCCTGGTCAAAGCAGACACCACAAGGCACCATCTGCTTTGGATCTTAACCTACTGAGGACCATTGATGAACACAGCTCTCCAAGCACTATACACAAGGATGGCCTCTATGAATCTGTCAATTCTGGAGACGGCTCAGAGCTTCAAATAGAGGAAGGGGAGAGCATCAACAGGGCTGTGGAGAACATCCAGAGCTCTCCAAGAGGGAATAATCCTCTGAAAATTAAAGGGTTGAAGGTGAACTTCAACAAAACCTCTGCTGAAGGCCCGCTAACACCGCCCAGCACTACCTCTCCTGGAGACATCAGCTCCAGCATCCTGGAAGACGAATCGCCAGAGGGGGAGACGTCACCCCTTATTCCAATGGCGGAGGAGCTGTTCCCAATTTCTGAAGAGGAGACCTGTTCATTGTCCCCTAAGAGGCTGATTGTGGACACCCCACCTGGTGATGATGATCCGGCCTCTGAGAACCATGACGAGAAGCATCTGATGGAGGTTGCAGGCGCAGCGATTGCACCATTGTCACCCAAAACAGCAGCACAAAATTGCACCGCAGGTGTGGTTGGTGTGGGTGAGGATGTCAAGGCTGACAGCAACCAAAGTGGACATAAAGTGGAGAACCACATATTTACAACAGATATCCACCTGATACCTGGGGAAGGCAGCCTCTCCCCGACCTTAGAAACTAGCATGTGACTGTGAGAGAAGCTATGCGGGGACTGCAGAAACCACTGCAACCTCGGCTTGGTGTGTGGGAAGGAACGACAAAGGTGCAGTTGTAGAGACAGAAATTTTTGCATGGCATGACAAGTCCCTTTTACTTGTGTTGTTGTGTATTGCTGAAAAAGAAACTGCAGTGCTTCGTGCAGATTTGAGAATGACTTTGGGACAAACAGTGGGCTTAAACGAGGAGGCTTTGAAAATCAGAGGGAATTCATCAACTTGTGTAGACATTTTGGTCCTCCAAATGTACATAATGACAGTCTCCTTTTTCTAGCAAACAAAGGAAATGCACAGAGGGACGTATCTGTATAAAGCATGCATTTAAAAAAGACAGATATTTTACGGTGCTTAGTTTGCTGAAAGCACTCCACTGTAAATACTAGGACATCAAAGGCAATGACAATGCACAGGATGGCAAAGGAATACAGTCTCTGAAGGTTCAAATATTTGTAATGTGAAAGGGGCTGGGTTGGGGGGGTTGAATTGAGAGCCCAAAAGCTGGGTGTTGCATCGTAGCGACCTATTAAAAAAAAACATATCATTACCTTTTGTGGAAATGCAAAGTGTTCCCATGGCGACCCTGTAATGTTTTTTCGCGTTGAAAATGGTGTATGGAACTGTAATGTTGACATTATTGTTTTTTTTTTTTGTTTTCATAACAACTGTTGAACTATCAGTTGAGCCGATGTTCAGTTTTGGAATTAACAACAGTGAGCAAGAAGGACAAAACACCATAATCCCTCTAAATACATGTAGTTGCCAAATACGTAAGTAACCAGTAAGGACAGGAACTATCAAGGGAATTACCGCAATAAAAAAAAAATATATATCTATCGTGCGGTCCAATAAAGTTTGAGCAAGGTTCAAGATGTGTAGTTCCCTGTTCAGCCTTTTAATTCCATCCAAATCACGGAAATAATCCTTATTTACTCTCCAACATAAAATATATACACCTTAAAGTAGTTTTAAGAATAAAATATGAAATAAGTAGGTCTAGACTGGTTGTAGAAAAAAGTTCTACTGTAGGTAAGTGGGATTCCATAAAACAGAGTTAGGACTATTTATTAATTCAACACAGTAGTCCAATCATCAATACACATATATGCTTTCAACTATAATGATCTATTTTGGCAATTTAAACGGGATTGACTACCACAAAAAATTACAATATTCCTTGTGGGTCAATGGACCAAATCAAGCACAGTAACAAGCTTATAACTATCTCAGCTGCATAGTAACATACGTGACGACATGTATTATAACAGTAGTTGTTGTTTTTCTCTCTCTTTTTAATGTTTCTTTTTTCCTGCATTGTGTTCATTGTCCAACCCTCAGCACCCTGATGTCTGTGTTGAGATTTGTTCCAAACTACTGCAAGTTTAACCGGTCCTGCTGATGATGTATATCCTTAGTGTCTTGGAATGTCATTATTGTGTTTAATTGTGAACAAAACAATTTTCAGTCAAACTTAAACCTAAAGGAGATTTTTTTTTTTCTCGTCTTCTTTCTCGCTTTTTGTTTTTACACTGACTGAAAATATCTGTTTTATGTTGCCTTTTGATTCCAATTTTATTGCTGGAATATTTGTTTATTATTTCAGCATGACACTTGGCTGAGTGTACTAGAGTTGTGTTTGTGAAAGCCGCACAAACCTGAATGGTACCAAGAGGAAGTATGTGGTTGAATTCTCTGTTATTGGTTTTGTTGTTTCTTCTTTCTTTTGCGTATTATTATTATCATGTTTTTATGTTCTGACAGAGAGGTGTGGAATGTGCAATACAGCATACTGCAAATCTATGCAGGCCAAGAAATGTGGCACTTTATTTTCTGTCTATGGGATTTGTAAGTGTACAGGCAGAAATTACTTGTATTTTTCAAACGTTATATCTTTAATATGAGGCAAAACAGTATTACAACTACCAGAAACTCACAAACAATGCAAATGAGAATTTAAATTATACTTTTTCATATCATATGGCATATATGCTCTCGAGCACCTTAATGCCAGATATCAATGTACCTCAAATATGATTATCTGTGGAAATAGGCATCCAAATTGACCACTTTTGGCCTTTTATATTACTGTTGGATTTGCATTAAAAAATCTGACAAATTTCTGTGGGAGATATTAAGATAATCTAATTTCAATGGCCACACACAAAGGATTTTATGTTTTTTGTGAATTAACGTTGAGAATGATCTATTTTTTCTAAACCAAAATGGAGCACGACCACAATTTCCTGCCATGTGGTGGTTGAAATGATGCGTGCCTTTTCATAACACTGCAGTTTATGAGAAGGTAGCGAGTCATTTTGCTTTGTTCATATAGCACTGTACAGAAAATTCTAATTTTATAGGAGAAATCAGGTCTTTATGTAATAGATACAAGTAATGTTATTGAGTTCTCAGGTTTTCTATAACTCTCTGATGTTCCAATTGGATAAAATTCTCTGTTTTTCTTTAACAGCTAAATGTCAACTAGTAACTTCTGTACTTTTTGAAAGGTGATGTTGTCAAATCCACACTGATGTCTTGGCTCCTGGAGCAAGGAGCGGCAATATTTCCCCCTCCTCCGAAGTAATCTGTGTACCACATTCAGTGTCCACCCCATCAGTGTTCAGTGAGGCAGGAAGCAGCACAAACAAAGGGACAGAAGTCGGACGGATAGAGTTTAAAGGCTGAGAATTCGACAGAGGAGAGTGTGATGTGTCTAACTTACCACAGACAGGCGGGAGGGGATCCCTGAACCGATACATCTGATTATTTCCCATGCTGACGCCATTGAATGCTCCAATCCTTACAGCTTCAGAGGCTCTAACCTCATGGCATGCCCTTAGAAACAGTGATCAATGGATTGAAGGAAAGCCAGGATGAGGGAAGGCTATGAGAGTACAGAGGAGAGGTGAAATGGAGTCCTTCAATATGGTAACATCACATCAGTGCTCAGTTGTGGTCCATATTTCCTTTTGTCTGTGTACTGTATGCCCAGACCTACATAATTAAGCTCAGAATTATTCTTGGAGTTATTGATCCCTGATGGAAACAAATTCTTTGTTACCCCTCTGAAGTTAAAAAAAAAAGAAAAAAAAAGTGTGGTCATTGGTGGTTTTTGTTTGGGGTATTCATTAGTCTTTTTTTTAATGAAGGAAATGACATGATATCATTTATTTCTGTACCTGTACGTTCAATTGAATGTTTTCCTTCATCCCATGTTTTCTTGTTACCATGTTTCTGTGTTAACCTCAAGTAATCCTTCATTTTGACAGGTAGGGTAGACCAAACAAGAGATTTGGATTGATCAGCTATATTCTCCTGGGATGATGTTTGTGTGGACACTTACATTAATTCTGCGAGCTGACAGTAAACGCACTGTGCTCTGTCTCACTGTCTCACAATGGCATTATCATCTGTGATACTGTGCAGAGAGGAAGGTTGTGTCTTTATTTTCTCTGAGAGAATGGGTATTGTCCATGTGGCTCATGCGTGCTTAATGAACCCTGCTCCCTAAAATGCATAAAGCATTGTTTTCTTCTTATTTCTCGATGTATTCTGCCTCCCACATTTTTTCTTTTTTTCTTTTTGATTTGTTATTTTATGTTTTGGAAAACATAATCATTAGACACATTCTAAGCTACAGACTGTTTCTGTACAAAACAACATCTTTGTATGCATGTAGTAGTCCGGACAATTATGTGACCACAGAACACTTTGTTATGGTACATGTATGTCAACATTTCTGTAGAGCATCGTTCCCCATTACGTCTATTAGCATATGCAGAATAATAAATAAATGTGTATATAATTCAGGTGTCTCCGTTTCTGGTGTTTTCAGGCGAGCGCTGCAGTTTCTGAGTGCATTGTTTGCATACTGAGGATCATTACATCATATGATACAAACATGAGTTTCAAAATACATAACACTAATTAACACTGATATTGAAGTAGCATAAGGAATGTATGAGTTGTTTTTAATATCTAAAACTGAAGACAACTCCATATTCAGACATAAATATCATCCATTACTGTAGATGCATTTAATGGATTTCACATTTCTGTTGTGTACTGCCATCCAAATGATATGATCGTGTACAGTGCTCTCAAAACTAGACGCATGTTATTATGTAATATATGACAAACACTAAGGGGTGAACAAACACTCTTAAAGTAAAGTACTCGCTGATTCATTGTATTGTATGACTTGGGATTAAAGATGGTATGCATTACATGATTGCATCACATAATCAATTATCAAACAAGTTACAATACATAATATGTGGTGAGAAAATCTGCATTCTTTTCTTAACGTCAGAAAAATTGGATAAATTGCAAAAACGGTAAATTCTAAAAAAGACTTTAAAAAAGGTAGAAAAGTCCGTAGAAATGTTTGTTGCCGCTTGTAAACACAAAATTTATACTGGGCCCCTCCTTGTGAGCTCATCGCCATCAGAAGCGCACAAAGGGTTAATAGTACGTCTACTGCCTGTAGCTACACTGCAAGCTTCCTGGGAATAGGCCTATAGAAGAGCTGATAATTAAGCATGCTAGCAACAAGGTCACCGCCGGTGTTTGGCACCTGCCTGTCCAACAGAAAGTAGGCCAACTCCACATCTGCAGGTAAAAGTCAACCAAAGGTTTATTTTATTTAAAATAGGGGCAGTGCACATTAATGAACACAAACATGTAAATGTGCAAGATTATAGCCGTAGTCTGGTGAAACAAACAAAATAGGTCTGATTAGTTACTTTAGGATTTTATAGTGGAATAATATGAGAGAATTTAATTTAATGTCATGGACTGAATGCCTGGAAAGGATTTATTCCCAGACTCAGTGTGTTGTCCACTAACAGCGCCAGGGAATTACACTGCCCAAAAATATAAACCCAACACTTTTGTTTTGCTCCAATTTTTCATGAGTTACAATCAAAAGAGCTAAAAAGAAATTATATGTAAATAAAATACCTTTTCCTCTCACATTTTGTTCCCAAATGTGTTTGAATCTGTGTTAGTGAGCGCTTCTCCTGTGCTGAAATAATCCATCCACCTGACAGGTGTGGCATATGAAGATGCTGATTAGACAACATGATTGCACAGGTGTGCCTAAAGCTGGTCACAATAAAAGGCCACTCAGACCTCAGCAGGTGCTTATGGTTCTTGATGCAATAAATGATATCACATCAGAAAAAACGGGATGCAATTTTCTCAGGGAAAAATGTAACTGCACTCAAGGAATTTTCATCACAAAAACAATTATATCATGCAGCACTACATAACAAAACACATTAAAAAATTGTACTTCAACAAGCATTAATAATCACTATCCAGATCAAGTCTCCACCAGGAGCGTCAAGGAGATACAGAGTACTACTATATCCAGATGTAACCTGATCCAGGCCAAAAAAGTACTGCAGCACTTCTCGAATTTCATACAGAAAGTCATCTTAACATGGAAACGTAAGACAGCTGTAGTTCAGGTAAACTCCAGACACATAGCATCAGATGACAGAAGAAGCTTACTTTGAGCTAAATGGCCAACTTACCATATGAATGAAGCTCATGCGGGCATTGTGGTAACACGATATTGACACCCAGCATCTGACGACGACGACAAAGTCTCTTGACTTGGAGCCAAGGCCCACAGGTGTTGATGTCAGCGGTTATGACTTATTGTAAGCGAGGCTTTTCCTTTGCCTTGAAGCCTCGTTTACAACTTCTGAAGCAAAACTAGGGTTGATGTTGAAAAAAAAAACATTTAACAGCGGCTTTTTAGCTGCATTTGCTTGCAGATTACAGCTTGTCATATGGTATAATAAATGGAAACAACTCGGAGAAGTTACCGTACAGCTAAGACAACTAGAAAGTGACACCATGTACAAACAAATAAAAGGAATAAGGACGACACTGAATTTTCATTGCAAGGACTGGTCAAGCATATCTCTCTTTTTTGAAGACATAGGTACATCCCATAGGTACATCTCATAGGTACATCCCATAGGTACATCTCATAGGCACATCTCATAGGTACATCTCATAGGTACATCTCATAGTACATCCCATAGGTACATCTCATAGGTACATCCCATAGGTACATCTCATAGGTACATCTCATAGGTACATCTCATAGGTACATCCATAGGTACATCCCATAGGTACATCCATAGGTACATCTCATAGGTACATCTCATAGGTACATCTCATAGGTACATCCCATAGGTACATCTCATAGGTACATCTCATAGCACATCCATAGGTACATCCATAGTACATCTCATAGGTACATCTCATAGTACATCTCATAGGTACATCTATAGGTACATCTCAGGTACATCTCATAGTACATCTCATAGTACATCTCATAGGTACATCCCATAGTACATCTCATAGGTACATCTCATAGGTACATCCCATAGCACATCTCATAGGTACATCTCATGGTACATCTCATAGGTACATCTCATAGGCACATCTCATAGGTACATCTCATAGGTACATCTCATAGGTACATCCCATAGGTACATCTCATAGGTACATCTCATAGGTACATCTCATAGGTACATCCCATAGGTACATCTCATAGGTACATCTCATAGGTACATCTCATAGGTACATCTCATAGGTACATCTCATAGGTACATCTCATAGGTACATCTCATAGGTACATCCCATAGGTACATCTCATAGGTACATCCCATAGGTACATCCCATAGGTACATCTCATAGGTACATCTCATAGGTACATCCCATAGGTACGTCCCATAGGTACATCGCATAGGTATATCCCAAAAACACGTTGTTATTCCCCCGAAACGCCAGAGGGCGCTGTGGACATTGAGCGACACTCCTAAACAAGCGCGCGGAAATCAACTTATTTCAGAACTAAGAAGAAGTGAAATTACGAAAACAACAACATGGAGCTAGAAGACAACAATAAAAGCGCCACATGTGCAAGTAATAAAGAGCAGAGAGTCAGTTTCCCTCAAGTTACCGTCGTCGTTACGCGGTGGACGCTGGACTTCCTGTTCGTGAGTTTGTGTCGGTATTTTAAGGAGGACAAACTTGATGAATTTAATGACACGCTGTCCAACTACGAGGGTAAGTCTTTAAAGATTCATGTAAACAGTTATCAACGTTGTTATGTATTGTTAGAGTTATCTTTAACGAAAGGTACAAGTCTATGGTGCACATTTGGAAAAAAATGAAAAAGTGACTCTGGGTTAGTTAAAGATAGAAATCTTAAATTCGAGATAAAATAAAGCTGCAATGAAGAAAGTGAAATACCTCCCCCAGCATAGAAACAGACAACGACTGCTAGAATAACATCCAATGGTTTTATGTTGAATTGCTCCAGAAGGGCGATCATGAAAGACTGAATGTTTGCAGGTCTTGATATTAAAGGAGGTAGACCCCCATCCCATAGACCAGGGATGGGGCAACTTTAGTCACAAGCAAGGGCCACATTCAATTAGTTCTCCCTGCCAAAGAGCCAAATTGTAGTATACAATTATGAATCAATTATTTAAAGAAAATCAATTATGTCTCAAATTTAACTCGACATATACCAGTGATCAAATATTATTATGGATTTATTCTGGTTTTCATGATTTCATGGCAGATTTTGTCACATTTTCTTCATGTTTCCAATTCATTGATATGTAAAAATTGACCTGGGGGCCGCCAGGTGCCCACCCCTGCCATAGACTGTAAATATTGGGTAATCCCACACCATTTCTAGAGAAGTACAGTTGCTGCTAGTCTCAATATTGTGGCTTAAACTGAGAAAGTGCCTCACAAAGAGTAATAACTCTATTAACCATTAAATACACGATACCCCTTTACCCCCTGATGACGTCAATAAAAAGTACTGAAGCGTTTCGAAGAAGGGAAATGGGAGTGCTTCTAGATACAGTTTATCATTATTAATTATCTGAAAACAGGGTGGCAAACACTAAATTGTTCTTCTTTTTTTTTCTTTTTCTTTTTTAGCTATTTCTCAGAGTCCACCTCTGAAGGAAGCCACTGATGATGAGAAAATAAGGATTTGTGCTTTCCTTGCGAGAGTCATGCATGGAAAGCAATTGGGTAAGTAGTGCTGTAAAAGGCTTCCCTCTTGTAAAACTTTCTGCTTCTTACAAATATATGTGAGCAGAAAGCATTTATTATTTGGTGGTGTGATGAGAGTTTATGCCGGAGGCTGTTTACAGTGGAAACTGATCCCAGCTGAGATTAAAGCTTGTGTAAAAGTGATAGATATTGGAGACATTAAATCAATGTTGTGAAGACCCAGAATAAAAAAAAGTGAAGTAACTTGAAGCTAAAGCTGTGTGGTGTTAAAATGTACCAAGCTGTAATACCTTGCTCTTCAGATTCACATGTCCTTTTCGACCATGTAATACGCTGTTTTTCCTCAGATGTCATGTTTGAGGAGGACAAACGAGTGATACCTCTGATGTCTGCCGCGAAAATCTGGTCGGACCTGGAAGACACTGTGGCAGACAAAAGCTTGTTCAAAAATGTAACAGTCCTTTTGCTTGTCCAGGTAATCATAAACCTTCACAGATTGAATATGGCATTAATAGTATGCTGATGGATGATTTCAATATAACTCAGGAGAACCCTTCTGTCTTTTTGGCTATAATGAATGCATACTATAAATTGACTGTTTAAAAGAATAATAATGTCCTGACGTCGCACGGGGAGACTTGACTCCTTTGGGGTGTTCGTTGCCTGATGTGTTTTCTCTCTTCCTAGTCTGTGGCTGTGTGCTTGGAGAAAGGCCAAAGATCCTCTGCCTACTCTGCCCTCAAGTGGTTTGAAGAAAACCATGCTTTCCCAAAGGTCTGCCCCTTTTCGCTCTCTCTCTATCTCTCTCTCTTTTTCTCTCTCTTTTTTTCAAATCACAGAGTCATAACTGGAACATTTTTGGGCCTAGGATAATTTATATATCTTAAACAATATAATTTTTCAACAGAGCTTGCGAGTTCAGCTGTCAGCAGTGGTGACCGAGAGGGAAACTTATCACCCGCTTCTCGTGACCTTCAGCTTCAGCCGCTTGCGGGAGACGATCCAATCCTACCTGGATGAGTACTTGGAGAAGAATCCATCAGACTACCTTCTAAAGGTACAGAGCCTCCTCCGGTATTTGTAATGCTGCATTATTAATCAAGTAATCAACTGCAAGGTACTGAGATAAGTGGTCAATACTTCTGGGGATTTTTCAAACAATGGGGACAAAAATATGCTTGTCTCACCTTTTTTCACCAAGTCAAAACACCACTCTGGGCTCTAGGAAGCTGTGATGAGTATTATCACATCTTTCTGACAGCCTAGAGACCACACACGGAAATGTCTAATCAACAAAACAATATTAACTGTATTAAACCCCGATTGAAAATAACTAAGTTGAAATGTGCAGAGCAGTTTGACTGCTCATAGTAGAGCTGTCTTGCAGGAAGAAAAGTCTTACATCTTTACTTGAACCCCACAGCAGGATTATTCAGTTTGTTCCTGATAAGAATACAAATGTACATATGCCTTGTTTTTGCAGCTGACCCTGTGAATAAATGTAGAGAAGATCAACTTTGTATTTCTTGAAGATAAGGAATGAGGGAAGGGATACAAGAAAATATTCAGTGTTTGTGCACGGTATCTGAGGATGAGCCCTCTATAGCATCTTTCCTTTAATACAATCAAGGGAGCGAAGAATTGTCAGGTATCTGCAGAGTTTCCGAAGTTACACCTGATTTAATCGGCAAATAGACGAGGCGTGCGGTGGATGGCTCAACACGTTTCGCTGCTGGATACTTATTCTTGATTGTGTGTTCTGCTCTGTTCAACTGTGCTGTAGTCCCTCTTGAGTAATGTTGTTTCACCTACTGAAGGTGCTGATGGGACATCATCAGTCACACTTTACTGACGATTCATCATCAAAATTAGTTGGAAGGGCAAACTGCTACATTCAGCGGAGCCTCCTCGGGGGTCTCACAGACTCGCTTATTCATGGAAGTTTCAAGAATGATTTACATACTGTCGAGGCTACAGACCAAGGTTACACTTAAAAGGGTGCTCCAATGACAGGCTTCATTCATTTAGTTTGCACATTATAGCTGCATTTAGACCTGTAAGTTCATCATTGTGGACACACACAAAAAAGAAATATGAAGTAACCAAAGTCTTGTAAATGTTTTGATTCTTTGATTCTCCATCTATCAGGAAGCCACTAAGGTGGCCCAGTCACAACAGAACGCTGAAGATTTGGAGGATGAGGAGACATTGGAAAGCACTCGGACAGAAATGAGCAACGATTCAACAGATGATACAAAGTAGGAAATAAATACAACACCTTTGCTTGCAACAGAATTTGACATTCCCTGTAATGAACAATTTTCTCATCATTTTTTTCCCTACAGGAAAAAGAAAAACACGGGTCGTGTGAGGTGTGTAAATCTCTCTCTCTCTCAGTAAGAACAGTAATTAAACTATGAAAAAGGAGTAATAATTTTTTACACTGTAACACATCTGCAGAACAAAACGGAAACTCCTGTCCACTAAGATTACTGATGTATGGAAACCTGACTCATGCAAAAAGGCTGTGGTCTCCATCAGAAGAATCTCGGATCATGGTATGTTTATCTTTTCCCTGCTTTTGATATATCCGTAAAAAGCTCTACGCATTAACTCAAGTAATGATGGTTTGACATATTTTAAATTGTGAGCAAATGCTAAAGAGAATGTTAAATCTTTTGCCTCTCAGAGTTATTGAAGATGTCATCAGAGAAGTCCTTCAACACCTCAAAGATGGAGAAAACAAGAAAAGCACGTCGGGTATGTTCAATCACACAGCTCAGCTCAGTGTTATGTCCAGTTTTTAGTTCCTAATCAACTACATTTAAGAAGCATCACTGAAAGAAACCTTATGTTTGGGGTGTAATCTCTTAAAATGTTGTTTATACGTTGTGTAGAAATGGACGAAGAACCTGGACCAAAAACTCAAGGATGGTGTTAAACGTCACGGCAAGGGGAATTGGTCTCGCATATTACTAGATCATGACTTTGGAGGACGCACAGGCACCATGCTTAAAGACCGCTGGAGGATTTTATTGAAGGCACGTGAAGTCAGCTAAAGGAGGGCAATGCCTTTCTAACTTGTACTATGTAGCAATGAGCTTGTAATTCAAACATTTCTTAAGCTGGTCCTCTCATCCAACCCTTTCTACAATGTTTTTGTGTGTTATATGATGCTGCTTTGTTTGCACTAAAAACAAAATACCACTAGAGGGCACTCAACAGAGAAATTAATTTTTCAATGTGGTTTTGCCTTCTACGGTAGAATGCTTGTGATAGTTCTGAAATGTAAACTGTGTTCGCCAACTTGTACAAAGTAGTTTTTTTTTAAATATTTGAGTTAAAATTTCCTTCAGTATTTATTGACCTGTTTCAGTCCACAGTCTAAACTGTTCCCAACTGTTTGCTTTGTGGTGTGCTTGCTGCTCTGTTTTCACAAATGAAATGTCCATTGATCAGACCACCAGGGGGCGCTAAACACTTGATGATTAACTGGGTAGTTTGCATGTTAATATGACCTCATTGTTATGTTGTTAAGCAAAAATCTTATCTGAATGTAAAATATATACTTTTTTATTAAGTTACATATTTCTGACAGAAAATTGTAAATAGAATAAAACAAATAGCTTGTTTCAATAAAATATGTAGATCAATGTGAGTGGTGCTTATATGTGATAGAAAAAGCTGAATGACTGTACAAATAACACGTGTCTATACAGTGTTATGAGGTTACACATACAATGGAAATGTGCATCAAGACTAGTTATTTGAAAGTTAATTATAAAGCAATGTGTAGCATATTTTTATAAACATTTACATTGTAACAATGGTATGGCTTAAATCTGTTCTTACTGGGTTCAGACATGTGATCTGAGTGTTTCCGTTTCATTAATGAGATGGTATTGTAGACACCAGTTCATGGTTTTCTGTGGTCCGTAGTTTGTGATCAGATGAAGACGAAGCTGTGCTGGGGTGGACAGTTGCACTGCTGGGTTCTCTGGATCTTCTTCCATGTGCCGCTGCACTGATGGTTCCCTACTGCCTGCCAGTGGAGCACAGCCTCTCTGCAACACAGACCCAAACAGTTATGATGCACATATCTGCACATTTTCTTTTTTCACAAGGATAATTTCACTTGAATTCCAACTGAATTTGAGATTTGTAGGCTGGAGAGAACAGGGAGGTAAAACGGTCCATGTACAATAAATTCAGTATCCAGGTTTTTACAACTTTTGCTGAGAGAACACGTGAAGGATCGTAGCTTCATACTTCTCTGATTCCTGACCGTCTCCTTGGCAGCTGCCACTGTTGTTTCGCATGGCAGGAGGCTCACATGCCACACACACTTTAAAGCCCTCGGTTATGTAGCGCATCCAGTGTGTGTGAGGCCGGTTCTGCACCGTACAGTGGGGTGTCCGGGACTCCAGTGTGAATTCAACACAAAACCTGAGGGGAGAAGAAGCAGGGTCATAAGAGTCACACAGTCAGTCCCTGGATGTCAACACCAATGAATCAAGATAGGGAATTAAAGTTAACACTTAATCTACGGCATCAATTTAGTGGACATAAACCTCTTCTGAAACAGGAGTATAAATGCAGCCAATGGGTACACTAAAAACCGCACACAATAACTCAGCCGCTGTCATCCAAACCTTTTGCTTGTACGCTTTTATGTGGCAGTCCTTGATATTTAATTTCAAAGGGTTGTGGGCAATCTCATGGCACTGCTATATTTAATGGTCTGTAGACAGACGTCCAGGTGAGCAAACACATTCTGGTAGCTCATGCAGATGGAGAAAACATTGGGCTGTTATCTTCTGTTCAAAATGGTTGGGGTTACACTATATAACATAGTGTCTAGCGCTGATGCACGTACATGCACAGTTACTTTCCAGTTGAGTGACCATCTCTTCTTTGTTATATTGTGTATCTTTTTCAAGTGTTTGAAAACTGCATATGAGGGATCAACGCAATAAATGTGTACATTTATATCTATCTATCAACAGATTTCATGGATCTAAGAAAGATGACGGCTGATATATCGGTATCTAATTTTTTCCCCTCCCCAATGTTGATATCGGCCCCAAAATGACCATATCGGTCAGGGCCTAGTTTGCAGTTTTAAAGTACTTAAAGAGGCAAGGAAGCCTACCCAGGGTCGAGAGGGTTTCCATAGTTGTCATGTTTGGGCCTTCCTTTGCCAAACTCCGCACTGGTGATGAATGCAGGACCTCAGAAGAGCAAACAATTAGGTTTCTATTTGTAATTTCTGAAGTGAAAAAACAAAACAAGTGTTTTAACTTCGCTCACTGGAAAAAAAACAGGAAAAAAGGGTCGATATATTCGGATTAAACTACTGATGAACAACAAATTTACCTTTTTGGTATAAAGAAACCGAAACCCTTGATTTAAAAAAAATAAAACACTGATTAGTGACATTACTGCTAACTTTGGCTTTGATCACACGCTCTGGTGGCGCACTATTATTGTTTTTCTAGTTCCACGATAATCAGGGGCTAATTATTTATGGTAATGGATCGGTGCATTGACTGGAATAATCAAAGATAGATTGGTGTATTGGAGGCTAAAAAACAAACACAATACTTATGGAACCATTTAACTCCAGACACATCCAAACACGGGTATCTACATGAATTTATTTACCTGAGTGGAGTCCACAGGGTCCACCCTGGTGGTCTCTGTACTCCCTGCAGCCACTCTGTTCCTGCAGGCTGGGACAGGGCTCTCCGCTGTTACCTGGCTGCTGCTCTACGTGTCGGACACGGACTCGCACTGAGGGTTTGCAGGGCTTGGCACATCCGCTCCAGAAGCTCCAGTTGCTCACTGCACAGTCCTGAGCTGGGTGTTCACATCCACATTGTTGGAGAAAAAGTGATAACAGGATATCTTCCTTTGTTGCAAACAATCAAGGAAAGGTGACAAGTTCAAACACCAACACTGACTCTGAGTTCTTGCAGCCTGCCTGATTACAGTTTTCCCCTGAGACGTTATGAGCCTAAATATCCCGGAAATAACTTTAGCTCAATGAAGCATTGATTGTGACTTGTAGAATTAGTGTTTCTTGCTCTACTACATGTTTTCTAAGAGCATGCCAAGTGAGCAACCATTCAATCACCAAGTCCTGTGATTTCTCTTTTCAGTTCCTCTCTCTGCTTGATGATCAAGCTTTGATGTATTAAGCATGCAGATTTGGTGTCTACCGGCCTATCACACTTATTAGGGACGCCTGGCTTGTTTGACTGGAACTGTAATTGCTACAAGTGATTGACAGAATCACATTCTTCAAATATTTGTACTAATTCCATTATGTGGGCAAGTCCTATGAACGAGGTTAGACGCAGAGCTGCCAAGGTGTACTTATTTTTGCTTTTTTTAAACGTTAAAGTAGAAAAATAAATGTTTACATTGCACTGTTGGTGCACTGAAGAACTTAGAGTGTGAGGGATACAGTAAAAGAGTTTCACAGTGCTTCATAACTGTGTATATTAATGCGTACAAACAATTTCACATGCCTGAGATGAATTTTGAGCATACCACCCCCTGCTATATCTGTAACACCAAGGTGCTGAAAATAATCTCTCTTCTCCAACTATCTTTACTGTCTGTCCTATACACGCATCCAGAAGACAATCAGGTTATCTCATGTCACAGCTTATCTCTCACTTGGTTTCATATAGTTAAGGTGTGTGCAAAAAACAAACAGAGCCCTCCCCATGTGACTGATTCACGCCCCAGAGCGGCCCTTCCATTCATCCCTCACCTGGGCACTCAGTGAAGTAGTCGAAGCAGCAGTCCTTGGTCCTGACGCAGCCCTCATCGCAGTAGCATGTCCCATACACTCTATCCATCCTCCAGTCAGTGGTCAGACAGCTCAAGTCTCTACCTCTGCAGCATTTCCCTGAGCAACCTCCAGACACCAGGACAAAATTATTTCCCAAAGTGGAAACCAGCAGCAGCGAACAAGTTAGCACAGATGATCCCATCATGAGGTAGTCAGGTCGGAAGTTGACCACTGAAGCAAAACACAAGCCTGAAGGTGCTTCAGAGAGTTTTCCTTTTCTTTATGTTTACTCCCTCCTTGGTGCTACTCTTTCGTACTCATAACCATGAGAGCGAGAGGTTGGAATACCAGCCCAACCCAGCCAATACTGTTCTGCCACAGGAGCCCTTGTGACCTGGAATTCCTGTGTCCGTCTCCTGTGTCCAGCCCCTCAGTTTCCCTCCAGAAAACAAGGTCTGCAGAGCAACCTACAGCACTGAATGATACCCTGTTCCAGCTTTGCTCAGACTCCCATGCATCTCATATTGTGCCTGTCCCTTGGAGCTGCTGGCTATCTCTCTCCCTGCTCCCAGCTGAGCACCTCCCTTCAGCCGTCGCATTAGGGAGGAGACAATAAGGGCAAGGGAGGGCTGAACTGGTGGGTTTAAAGTGTGTTTTTCCTCAGGTTCTGCCCTCCCCCATTGTTCCCTGTTCTTACCTGTCTTGTTGTTGTTGACTGTTTTTCCTTCTTAACCTCTCCATGCTGTTACTTGGACCCTGACGCCAGTCTTACCCAGCCTCTCTCTGCCACCCAAGACCTGTAAATCCAAAAAGAAAGGGAGGAATGTGAGCAGTTGGCAGGTGTCCAGACAATTGTGCCAGGGGGCCTGCTGGGTGTTGTAAAGCCACCCTTTGGTTCTCACCTCTCTATCTTTAGCTCATTTCTTTACTTTAGCTATTGTTGCTGTAATCTACCAAAACAAGCTTTTCCTGCAATACCTTGTACCTTTATTTTGGTTTTACATACATACATGCATGGAGGTGGTATCAAACTTCTCATGAATCCATCAGCAACAAAGCGATTGGAGAATTAGAGAGTATTTCCCAAAATGTGTTACTTATTTCTAACTCAATACATGCTATATCGCTGTCAACCTACAGTGACGTATAGTATAATAATCACTACAAGAGGTGAATTCCTTCCGTTTCAGTTGAGGTGCAGGCTGGTGAATCAGTAAGCTGGAGCTGTAGTGTACATGACATGTCATTTACAGGCCAGGGTGTGGCCTTCATTTATAACTCTTGATGTACAGTGCAGGGGACTGCAGATGATAAATTCATTCTATACACTGACTCTGGAGAGGAATGCAAGACTTCCTTTGCAAGGCTAATTCTTTCACCTCATTAGGATGGGGCTTGTGGCTGACAGATGATTGATTAATTGGATGATTAGATTTCCTGCCCAGAGTGCAATTAAAATGTGTTAATATATAAAAGCTAATAGCATTACATACTACTTTGCCCACTTACATTCATTTGGTGCAGAAATAATTTCTCGAGTTCACTGCAGCCTCTAATGTTCCAAAAGAAGCTCTCCTGTAATAGATGGTTCTTCATATATGGATTTAAGGACAAATTACCCTGTAAATTTGAAGGTTGGAAGCAACATTAATCACTGTGATGATGGCCCAAGGAGCCTGAATGTCTGAGGATGTTGTGAGCTCTTCATACCATTGAGTGGTACGTCCTCCGTCTCATGGGAAACAATCTAGGCCTCCGCAGGGAACATCAGCAAGGGGAGGAGGCCTCCCTGTGCCTGCTGCTACAGAAGGAGCCGATATTTGTAAGAATATGGATACGTCTGCCTCTGCTGTCCAGAAAAACAGTTCGCAGAGAGCAGAAGGGGGTCTGTTTGGGGCCTTTGATTCTTCTTCTCAACATAAGCAGGTAGGTCAAGCGACAGTAATAGCCTTCATCTTCACCATAATCATCCGCAGCAGCAGCAGCATCACTGGGGAGCATGTGTCTGAATCAGTGTATATTAAAGTTGGGGGGAGTTGAACCCAGACTGACCTCATGAAGTAACCAAACCACACTGTGTTCTTGTGGTCTTTTTCTATCGACACATTAAATCCAAACTATTGTCCTATGCTTATAATCATTATTGTAAAACCAAAGATTGTGAGACGGTTTCTGACTTCAAAATTGTGGATATGAAATGCTTTGAGTTTAGTAGGGTTACTAAAGAGGTGTCACAAAGACTAAAAAACACACATTGTATATCCAGCGCTGATTTGATCTGTCCACTGATGCGAGACCTACAGCTGCATCTGTTTGCTATGGCTCCAGCATGTTGGAAAAGGCACTTCAAAGCATGTGTGTTTTACATCTGACAGGCCCCAAACCCCAGACCTCCTGGCCCTACTGTGCACTTGTCAAAGCCGATCATCCTTCCCCGCAGTGACGCACCCTGCTTGAAGTTTTCTTAGTGTAGAGAGGAAAGGAGATTAAGCGTGTGTTAATGGTTCTCCAGATGGGACTGTGTGTGTACTGTATATGGTCTTCAAACTCTGTCACAAATTGAATTAAAAACTGTCTCTCAAACGGATCATTTCATTTGACAAATAGAGGAACAGCACAATTACTCAGATGTATTTTGTGTCTGTGCTACCACTTCTTGAACTGGCTGTAAAGAAGCGACGGGGAGAATCCTAGCGCCATCTCGCCTACGTGGGGAATGCAAACTGTGGCCATCCCCATGGTTACCACGGACCTGGGTTGCTATAGTTTCAAAAGCTCTATTTACAAATGCTAGAATTCTGCATTTCTTCTTACCGCAGGTTGTAAAGGTGCGCCGATGATGTCACCTTTGACCAAGATAACACTTCTTCGTATCTCACATACACACAAGAAGATATTTGAGGGGGATTACACATGTACATATACAGACAATAGTATCTTCTACAGCCCCCAATACACAAAAACACTAAAGAGTTTTGTCCTAACTTCAGGAAACACAAATATTTGGTACATGGTACCACTTGCATTCCAAGTCATTTTCTACATTAGTTGTTGCTTTTTATCAATTAAATATTGACATTGAAATCCCAATATGTAACTCAAAAATCAATATAGCTCAAAAATATTTCACCTTAACCAAATATTTAATTTAAGAGGTGGACAAGCTATTTCTCTTCAAGTGTTTTTGTTCCTCATGAGTTCAGCCAGTTTCTGTCTCATGAATGGAGAGCCTTTGTTCACTGAATTTACTGCTCAGCCTCTTCCTCCCTTGATGAGTACATTTGTTCAATTGGGGTGTGTGTGTGTCCATGAGGCAGTTACATTATCTGTGTGTGTGTGTGTGTGTGTGTACCAGCCTGTGTGTGCATTTGTTCAGCTGCTGGCATTTGAATAATGTCTAAAAGTCAATTGTCCTTTTTCTCGTGAATGGTGTACCTTTGTATGACACACAAACGTACAATAAGGTGTATGAGTCATTGTTTAAAGAGTTGAGCAGTTGGAGGATTGACTTGCCGTGTGTCATCATCAAGCACAGCATCGAGGCAGGGGTTAATCTAGAAACAGATGAGTGTGGATGAACAGGTCAAGTCAGGTGCAGAAGAGATTTTGATTTTTTTAACATGAAAGAGTCTTCACATCAAACAAAATGAGTTGAGTCTGTACATCCCACTAATGACGTTCCAGTCATTACAGGTCATTACTGTTCGACAGTTTATGGACAATCACACGCTCCTCCAGTGAGGAATGATGACACCCAGGCAGCAGCTTTGCAGGTAAGTTGGCCGTGGATCCACGTCAACCTAATGACAACAAAGACAGTGATATTGATGAAAGTTTTTCCCCCTTTCCCGGACGTGACATCGTCACTGATAACTGTCCCCTCATCAGTCAGCCATCTTGGCATAGACCTCCATATGCATGTAAATCAATGCAAACATTAGACGCAGCAGGCAGGCAGATGAGGCGAGATGTGTGGGTGGGAAGTGGGACTGACCTGCACCGCTGAGAGAGATGAGACTTCAGGTAATGACTGAGAGAGGGAGCATCTATCACCATGGATTTCATAAATCATACTGTGAAATGTCAGAGAGCAGAGGAGAGGTTACGCCGCCTGACTTGTGTGTTGTGGCTCTGCCAAGGGCAAAGTGTATAAATATCACAAAATGCACGAGCTATACGTCAAGGAATGTCTCTGAAAAGCATTTTATAGAGTTTCTCAAACATTTTTGTGGTTATTGACACTTTTGAAGTTACACTTAAGTTTGTGGTGGGGAAATTAAAACCTCTCCTCCTTGCGCCTGTAAAAAAGAAAAAAAAAGACCTACATGCAGACATGCTGAAAAGATAAACATTATCTTGTTTTTTATTGATGTTGATGTTAAATGAAAATCCCAAGAAGCTATATTTTGATATTTTATATGATATTTTCAGCACAGTTAGCTTGTTTTCTATAGATTTGACCTCCAGCTGTATTTGTATGATGGCAGATGTGAAGATTTGACCCCTGCATGCCCTATATAGACACACATGTTGCTATGGGACCAGAAGTTCCTGTTGACACATGTCACCTGTTTGCACTATCATTTGCAATTGATCTTTTAACAAGCCTATTCAGAGTCCTATCTGGTTCGATAAAAAAAAAAAAAAAAACATACAGAATGTATCAATAAGAGAGTAATAGCCTTTGGTAGGAAGGATTACTTTGGGCAGCTGGAGGTCTTTTCTATGAATGTATTCCTAAATAATAGATGTGATACTGTAAGTGTAGAAGTTTATTCTTCTGGAAAGAAAAATAAAAAAATGTTGATCTCAATTCCCCAGAGCCAAACATGACATCATCACATGTCTTGATTTGCCTGACTAACAGCCTAAAACTCAATAAATTCAATTTCAGGCGATGAAATGCACCGAATCTGCTCAATGTAGGAGCTGGAGCCGTACCATTTGGAGCAAAAGTATAAAGTTGAAACCAGAAAATGACCTGAAATATCATGTGTGTCAAAAGCTCTGTAGAAGTTAAGAACCTGAATTGTTCCTTTCACATTACACATAACTTATTCAACCACTTGTTGTTGTAAAAATAAATAAATAGGTAATACGAAGGCCAAATAAAATGCATACTCAGTACATCCTCCATGTGACATTTTGTAATGACAGAAGATCTTTATCCAGAAATCAAGCTCGCCCTTTCCCTCTGAAACTGGGCCTAACATATTTAGGGCATATTTGATTTGAAGCGTTGGCAATGTTATAATTTGGCAGACAGGCCACATTCTCTGATCCCCGCTGATAGACTCGACTGGCACAATATCAAGTCAGGCGAAGAACAGTAACACAACCTGGCCTTTCTTCATTATGGCACAGGTTGAGAAGAGGTCTCTGGACTCTCCCCACATGTTGTGTTTCTGATTGAAAATCCTGCAATAACAATAATGTATGAAAGAGTGTAAATGTAAAGTGAAAAGGTTTGATGAAAAAATAAGTGGCAGGAATGCACCGGTACCTTACATGTTAATTCAGGATTGTTTATCAATATCCACCCTGGCTGGTTTGAACGAGTATTGTACTGTGTCCTGGTTAAGAGTTCAGTGGGACTACAGTGAAACGATAAACCGCCGGTGGGCAGGCCTCACTTCAGCTCTTATTAAAGCCCTCATTGTTGACTGTTTGTTCCAGGTCATTTTGTTTCACTTCACTTGAAAGGGACAGTAAAAAACCCAGCAAGAAGAGGGAGTCCCAGAGTCCATTTGAGCGTGAATACAACCCCTTCACTTAGCATAAATAAGGGGATGGCTCAGTGTTTCTAGGTCAATGTGGGTCCTCTGAAATGCACACCTCACCATCCACAGGGACGGAGGGAGGGAGGAACAGATCCAAACATTTGACAACATCACAATTGTTCCAGGAGCTAAGGGATACACTTCCTTAAATAAAACAGTTAACAGCTTGGTTTAAAATTGGCATAACTCCTTTTTGTACTTCCTGATCACTGTTTCTACACTTTGTTGCCAGTCCTCTCATGTCTCCACTTATCCAAATGGAACCAAAACATTGGTCACTTTATCTTTAAGTTATTTTTTGAACCTTTATAGATAGTATACCTGAAGAGAAACAGAATACATTGGAAGGAGAGAGTGGGGGACGACATGCAGCAAAGGGCACAAACAAACGTCCGCTGCGATAAGGAGTCTAGACTCTATACAGGCTATCGGCGCCTCATTGATCACTCATTTGAAAGTCTGTCAAATCACCAAGAAGACTTGATCTGTCCCTCTTTTCCTCCGACACTGAAACACTCTCAATGACAAACTGCAGAAGGCTGACACTTCAGAGTCAGCTAGGGGGCCATCTTGGCTCTGTTTATTAGTGTGCTTGTGAAAACTGAGAATGGCTGCAGCAAGGAGATAACATGTGACAAAAGGCCTGTAAACTTCCACTTTTTCTTTTAATTAAACAAAATATTTAGAACCAGGTCTTACTCAACACTTTTGATGTGCAATCTTTCTGTGTTAGTTTGTGTAAAATCACAAACAATGTTCATGAGAAGTGGAAACAATCATTGTGGTGTCACAAAAGGGTTTGTGTAATATTGTTATGAAGACTGGAGTTTGGCATTTTGACCATGCCATCTTGTTTTTGGAGCCAGAAGGGACTCAATTTGGATGTGAGAGTTGTGTTTAACCTCCACAACAGTCACACCAGCGTCCCCTGTTTATTCATCTATTTTACTCTACGTGGGACTATAGTTAGAAAATGATCATGATATTTTGAAGATTAGAATCCATCGATTGAGATAAATTCTTTCTCAGGAAATGTTAAATAATGTTAAATAAAATGAACTGAGAAGTAGTCATTTCCTCAGACTTTTCAGTTAGACTTCTTTTACCACCAGTGAAGTCGCCCCCTGCTGGCCTTTGTAAAAGCTACAGAATTCCACTTCCAGCCAAGAAGCAAAGTTTGCATCTTATACAAAGTCTAAGGTCATCTTAGTGCTTATAGTTACATTCAGATAATTCAATAAAGATGCTTACCTTTCTGCTTCACTTGTCTAGTCAGTACTTACATGGATACAGTGATGATCTCTAAAAGTGAAATAGGGACTTAAAACAATGTGCAACCTGAATTATCCCAAACGTAAAACCCCTTTGGACTTTCTAACCGCAGCCGCCACATCTTCAAACTTAAACAAACTTCTCATTGCTCTCAGAACAAAAAGACAATTGTCATTTCAATGAACAAAACTATTGAGACATGAGCTTCCCTCCACACAGCAACCAAACAATGGGACATGTGGGAAAGTACCACATTCTGGGATCTGTGGGCACTTTGTATCTGTTCTGTAGATATGCAATGAAGACTCAGTTTCATTAGCTCATTTATGACTGTGCTGTTGAATCATTTGTGTATATGCTAAAAAGAGGAAGCTCCCTTTAGTAGCTTCTGCTACTCTTAAAGCTGTGACACAAAAAAACGAGCTTTCTTGACAACAAAAATTGAAATAACAAAAATAAATTTTATTTAATTTCAGGAAGACATTATACAAGGCACAATAATGGTTCTGCTAAACTATGTCATATGTTTATAGATATGTAACTTACTCGACAAAGCTTAATAAATATATATCGGCAATGTTTAAAACACTATTGCAATGAGGTCCAATCTTGACAGTATCTATAACATATTGATGATACAAGGAGAGATATGGCAGAATTACGTAACAGCCATTACAAGCCATTAGAGAGGTAAACTAAATATCTTTTCATGCAGCTTTGAGATCCAAGTAAAAATAGTTTAAGTTTTCAGCATTCATTTTGGTAGCATGTGCTGCCGTTTCCCATTATAAATACTGCATCTAATCACTAAAGGAGAGGAGCTCAGGTCAGGAATCCCAAAATGTGAATATCAGCCATGATAAGCAGGAAACTATTGTCGCTGCGGACAAACAAGCAGTTACAAGAAGACACTGAAAGGAGCACGGTGCCCATGTTTTATTTTGCTCTGACCTTGTTGGCACAGACTCCAAGGTTTTGATCCTTAACCCATTTGACTGGGGAGAGGGTGATTGTCAGGATGGAGCTTTCCTCTGTTTCTTCATTTTCTTGAGCTTCTCTTGTCTCACCGTCTCTCCCTCCAAAGAGGACAGCTCAGTTACCCTGTGGATGAAAGAGCGAGGCGCTCCGACCATTGGGTCTGGAAAGGACTGGCCTGAATACCAGGAGAAGAAAAAAACGGAATAAAGAGAGAGAGAAGAAAAATCAGGTTGAAAAATATTTAACATAAGAAGTAAGGGGCAATATTTTGACACTTGGTTTCCCTTTAAAGGTGTTTTGTTTCGGTACGCCATGGATCAGGATACTTGGTTTTGCTTAGTCTGTTTGTTTCATACAGAACTTATTTTAGTTGGTGTAGAGAAGCAAATCTAAATAGAAATTTGGAAGAAAAGCACAGGTTTGTGCTGTTTCAAACTGAAGTAAAAGGTTCAAACTGAGATCCCACACCAGCTGAAAACACCTCTTCTTTAAGAGGCCCCTTGCCCCACTTTGTTTGAAGAAACAAAATCCATAAAATATGACATGTTTGCGGCCAATAAATCCACATAAACACCTGGAAAGGTTGAAGTTGTTTTCTCACTAGCAGACAAGACAGTCTGACTAGAATTGTCAAGATCACAACAAATACCAGACCAAAAACTGAACAACCATGTACTTGAAAAGTCTCGGCTACACAGAAAAAGCTTCAAAACAAACTCACTCTTTTGATTGTCTTTAACAGCCTGCAGAGTGTAGGTCGGATAATTCACCTTAGGCCTGCAGAGTAGAGGGGAAGCAGGAGAGGCACAGGGTTCAGGAATAATTGAGAGAACTATTGATTGACGTGGTCTCATTTAGGGTTAAAATACCTGCTGAGCTTGCAGTTTCCAACTGAGAACGTGTTTCGGCCATTGAGGACTAAAGCGGAAGGAAAGACCATTTCTGGAGTTCTGTTGAGTTCATATCTTCCATGGCACCTGGAAGACAAAATTGAGGGCATGTATGCACAAACAGAAACTTTTTTTTAACACTAAGGAGAGCAGATTAACATGTTTTTACCCAGATTTGATCATCAGTAAGTTCTATGTACGTGGAAGTTAAGGCAACGTTCTGTATATAGAACAAATCTATTCCCATAAATTTATGTTATCTCATTACTCTGCAAAGTAATAACTTAAGCTTTATTGATGCACCCCATGTCACCGGGTTGTTAGATATTAAAAAACAGCTTGAACACTTTTGTTTGTGACAGATAAATTACACATGTCAAAATATTAATCGTATCTGTCTGCTTTTTTCAGAATTCATTTTCCTGGTGTACATCAGACAGTGACTCAGTCTAATTACAGCAATCTGTGCAGCTGTCTCTAAGAATATACTATGAAGACTGCAGCTCCGACTATTAGACTTAGACATAAATTCACTGGTTACCCAAGGGTGAGGGGCCGCCCACCGTGCATGTGGGGAAACTCCTTGAACAGTTTGACGGGATGCAGGTTGCCAGGTCTATTCACAGGGTAGTCCCTCGTCAGCGGAGGAATCACAGTTCTGGTCCTCTCAAATCTGGTACCTATTGGGTCAGAGACCGGGCAGGATTCAGAGATGCAGGATTAGTATCTCATGTGACGACAGTTCATTACTTGTAAATGTAGAGATTTTTGAGGACAAGGGAAACTGCACGTCACTTGTTCCATAAATAGCTTTAAATCTGAATCCAAGGTTATATTTGTGGCATTCAAGTAATGAAAATTGAGACCATTGCTCATTATATAACAACATCGCCACCTACTGGTGATGAATTTAAAATCCAGGAAGGAACCTTAAATTCAATGTGCATCGTTTTATAAGGTCAAAAGTGATAAATACATTCCTGAAAGACAACAGAAATACGGTACTTCCATAAACATCTTAATAATAAAAAAAAACAAATAATCTGTTACTCTTCTGCAATCCTTACATGTTTCATCATATAGAAGCTGTCTACCACACAGGTCCCTCTTTAGGTCAGTGTTTTCCAAATCCAGTTTGACATTTTGGGATGAATTAGGTGAGCTGCACACATTGAAGGAGAGAAACATGGACCCTGTCATACCAGCACAGATGCCAAGAAAATAAATCCACGCAGTAATGAAACTATAGATCACAAGTATTTGGTTGTTCATCTGATAGCACACATGCCAAGTCTTACCCTCTAACAACGAAGTCAGAGACCAAGTTCTTCCAGTCCCTGGACTCTGTAACACAGAGGACTGCTTTAGCTCCCATCACACCGTAAAGCTAGCAGCAACATCTGGGAGGTATTTGGGGGGGGGGTAAGCTTACTTACCGTTTAAGGTTTGCATCGCAGGAAATTTCTCCCTTAAGCGATTGTTAGGTCCAAAAGCTGCTGGTCCTCCACCTACTCCCATCCTGAACGCTGGATAAGCAGCTGTGTCAGGGCCGCGCTGGCTGCAATTTGAGCTTCCCTGTGAAACAAAAGCCTTTGCGGTTGGTAGCGAGGGGTTAAACTGGAAAGTCATCATGGTGGAGCCGCCATAGAACGAAGAAGTACTTATCTCTGTTGGTAAAATTGAGTACACCCGGTCATTGTTACGGTACGGTGCTGGCTGTTCATCTCCGTGCAGTAATGCTAGGCTGCAGCTCTCAAAAATGCTAACGAGTCACTGGGTCGTCATGGAAACAGGCTAACCCGTTATTCATAATCATGTTACGTTGCTCATCTCAAGTTTCCATGTGCTGCAGGCTGCTTCAAATTTAACTAATATCAGATCCATAAACAATTTAGGTTACACTTAAGTTTAGTTGCATGCGTTTCCATACTTTTGTCCAGGATTAAATTAATGTTCATTCATCTTTTTCTTAATTATTAGTAGCCTACTGCTCTTAAGATACAAATGTATTACTGAGGGGGATATACCAACACAAAATAAAGTTCTGGTTTATAGGAGGATTGATGACATGGCATTAAAAAGGTACAATAACAATAATGACAAGACCAAGACTTTTTTTTTTTTTTTCGGTTTTATTGTACATTTTGAGTCCTTTGAAAACCTAAAAAAAAGAGACAAAACTTGGTTAGAGATATTATGGTAGTGTTGTTAAGTTACAAAATAAAAGATGTTCATTAAGTTAGGTTAACACCTTAACACTGTAAATATTCTCATTTGTTTAAGTTAAGTCTGGTATCAAAATAATTTTAAACATCAAATAATGTCAATAACCGTATATAAACACTGTCTTTAAAGTAGTTAATGCTGGAAACACGTTAAATATTGCGAATACATTTTAATCCATCAGAAGTTGACACATTAAAAACACTTCAGATTGAGTGAAAGCAACATATTTCACAATCATAACTGCATCCGAAATCAGATCTAATGGTGTATTTACTTTAATTCTATTGCATCTCATTGAAAGTTAAGTGTCCCTAGGCGATGATTTTATTAATGAGTTAGATGTGGTTTCAGACATAATTGGCTTATTTTCAGCTTTGTTTCACCATAGTCGATAAGATGGGGAAAAAAGAATATGCATCATTAACCACACTTAACGAGCTATGTCTGCTTTCAAGACCTGCGATGTTCCAAAGACTCACCACAGCTTCAGTTCATCCTCCTGATCATTCTGTTGATCTGGTCCTCCCTGTTGCCAGCGTCTCCTCCCTCCACAAAGTGTGTGGTCTTCTTGTTCATACCACCACGGGGTGACGACAGCTTGAAGGGCCACAGGAAGTTATTGGCAGGCTTGAAGTTCTTTCCAACTGTATAGATCTCATGGATGAGGTCCTCAACACAGATGATGCCATATTTGCCTGCAGATCAAAAAGCAGTGTGCTTAACACATTTTCCTGTTATTGATGCTCAAAAACACTTTTGAGGTGGGAGTTGATACAAGACAATTCAAGTTTAAAACTAAACATTAACAACTTTGACTTGATAGATAAACAAAATGTAGTGAATATATTTTAATTGGACCGGTGGAGAAAAAATCAAAACAAGAAATTTCCCAAATATTTAACACTTCTATCCAGTTTACCAAACTCTCAGAGCTACACATGCATTTTATCTTTTGGGATTTTGGTCTGATCAGTAGCAAGAAATGCGTGTAAAGAACTGAACATATTATCACTACAAGTGGTTTCAGACACAACTGGCTTAGTTTCAGTTTTTTTTCACCATAGTCGATAAGACGGGGAAAAAAGTGTGCATCATTAACCACGTGTAGCTCTTTAGTTAGCATTTCACTGTTAAGTCGTGAGTCTACTTTCAAAGATGACAATATTTAAAGTTATGATTAAAAACTTTATACCACCTTAATACTGCAATTACAAAACCTCTATCTGTATATAAATGTAATCTCAAGAAAATTGGGCAGGTCTACTCGGCAATACGTTATTTATAAAGACAACATTATTCCACCATGTGCACTGCACTAGGCAACATTTAGAAAATTAAGAGGTAAAGAAAAATGCATTTTACCAGGCAGACACCTTAAGCAGAACCAGACTCAAACAGCAATCTACTGATGTGTTACTGTAAATTATGAAGCCCAGAGGTGATTATTGAAGTTACCAGAGGGTGTCCTCTGAACAGTTATCCCTTCAAGCACAACAATATGCTTCAGCAACTTCCCTTTTTAAAGTTTAAAAGCCAAACATGTCCATACCAAGGGCCTTCTCCACCAGAGCGTTGTCTGTGAGGGCGATGCGCTGTTTCCTCATCCTGCCATGGCCACGTTTGTAGATGAGCTCACGCACAGACTTCAGGTTGGGATATCTGGAGGAAAACAGGTCACACAGGTTTAGAAATTGGTCCAAATCTACTCCTAACAACAAAGTCAATTATTAGGGATGTGCATTTTTAGCAGAGTTACTTTTAGGAAGTCACTCGTAATTCTTCTAATTCATTCAAACATTTGAATGACCCACAGGTGCATCTATTCCATTTCACATAGTGGTATACATGTGTTCCTGGTAACCAAGAAATATGAACAAGTATCATTACCAACACTTACAAAAAATAGTGAATAAAGAGAGATTAGCATCATCACTTGTCCTCTTTGTATGCTTTATACATTTGAGTGTGTGGAGTGGGGATAAGTCTGTGTACAAAAAATGACCTACATTTACAGTACAATATAAAAACTACTGTTTACTTTTACCCTCTGCAATCACATGTATTCAGAGGCATCGTAAATTCATGGATGGAAAAAAAATAAAGGTGGAACAACATTATTATTTTAATTTAAAGTAAGTTTCAACATATCCTTTTTGGGGTCCTTAAACAATTAAGCTGAGAAGATTTAAATGTTGCCCCCTGCCGTTTCACTGATAATGCTAAAAAGGATACCAAAATCTATTTTAGATTTACAAAACAATACCTCAGTGTGCCCCTGCTTACATGCTGTAAGATAGGCATTGGGGGACTGAATAACATAAGAGTTGATGGTACTTTTAGAGAAAAACACTTATTGTGCTTGACAAACCCAAGTGTTTTAAACACAATCTTCACCCAATCTAAAGTTTCTTAACATGCACATTTTAAATTTTAACAATACATCCGAGAATGCTACTTTATTAGGTTATATTAACATTCTCTGAAGACCTCTGCTGAGAAGAATACCCAAATCCCATCTTAAGTGTCACTGTTTTCCTAGTCTCCACCTGGAGATATGTTCTATTCTGTCAAGACATCTACCAACACATGTCTTTTAGAGTCAAATTTTTCATTTTGTAATTAACATTCTCAAACTTCAGATGTGTAAAAATATATACCAATGACTATACTGGAATGTAGTTTCAGACAAAACTGGCTTAGTTCAGTCAGTATTCACCACAGTCGATAAGATGGGGAAAAAAGTTCAGCATCATTAACTACATTCCAGATAAACTTATATTAACCAGTTAATATGAGAAAAGCAGCACAGTATGACTAACATACAGCAATGACCACAGGTACGCTTTTGTTAATCTTCTCTCCCAAAATGTAGAAGATTAAAGTATCCACAGCCTTACCCCCAAGCGATGTAAGGTTCAGCAATCCTGAGCATGTTGATTGAAGCCTTGTTAAGCTTGACAAACACACCGTTGAAGATCTGGCGCAGACGAAGGAGCTGCAGAACTTTGCGAACCTTGGGGCTGACACCATTGATACTGGGACAAGAAATTAAAACAACGATTAGCATAGTTCATTTAACTAAAGATTAACTTTACTTTTTCCTATCATTGTTTCTGTTGTGGTTTCAGAAATAATTGGCTTATTGTGCAATATGTTTATCACCATAGTCGATATGTCGGGGAAAGAAGATACATCATTAACCACAACCTTCAGAGTACATTCAGATGGATTGCTACATAGAAATAACCAAATGAGGGCCTCCATAGCCCCTAAATTAAAATTAAAGAGTTAATTTCCCTTGTTTCTAAAACTCTACTCTCCTTGAAAGAAGAGGCACAACTGGGTCTTTTGACCATGTGCTTAAAAAGAAGCTTTGACACTTCCTCCAGAACTAGCATGGTAGAATAGCAGCATCAGCAAGAGATTAGGTATATAGTTTATTGAACATTTAAGCCTTCAGGTGTACAAGAAATCAGCATTTACATGCAAGTATAAAACAGCACAAAGAGGAACCTGAATAGGTGTCTCAGAGCATCCATTTAATGAAGAAACTATCATACAACATGAGCTTCTCACCCTCTGATTCTGATGACAAAGGCCAGCTTGGGCTCTGCTGGAACATAGTAGTTCCCCACTTTACGAGCAGTGCGACCCAGGCGGATCTCACGCCTGTACATCTGCCTGTACTCCTTGTGGTACTTCTCAGCCCGCTTGTAGATCAGCTTCCTGGTCACTTTGCGGGCCTACACACAAAAATAAACACCACATGGTCATGCAAGGCAATAAAATTTACAGGTTTCAATGTAGTGTTTGGCCACATGCAGACTTCCACACTGAAGTGCAGACATGTATTCTTACTTTCTTCTCAGCCAGCATCTTCTTGATGCGCATGGCCTTCATGGTGGCGAAGGCCTTTCGCCTTTTCAAAAGGCTCTCAGGGACCGCCGCAACCTTTTTTCTATCAAACGAGATATAAACATAGTTAGGGATGTATCGGTAACACTGATATTATCTTATATCCCCCAAATGTAACACACCACGGCGTAGCCGCTGTTAGCTTGCTAACCTGGCTTTTGCCGGCTCCATACAGTTGTGAACCCAGCTTTAGTGTTCCCCTACTTCTCTTAAAATAGTCAAAAGTAGCACTGCAGTCTACGACATTATTCTTGTAAATGAATCCAAACGTAGTAAATAGTCTAATAGAACAGTTAAACGCATGGAGACTGGTGAAGACAGCCATGTTGTTCTGCTATAGTAGCTACACATACGTGTCAAAAAAAGTGATATAAAAAACAATAGGAAAGATAATCCTTAACAATACAACACGTTTTAAGACGTATGGAAACTTATCAAACTGTTAACGACGTTAAAATAAGAAAAATAGTTATTTAAACACTGGATGTGCTTAGATTTCTAGTCGACAGAAGACACTCACTCTGCGTCCGCCATTGCGCCCACCGAGAAAGAGGATTTTTCCTTTTGCGCATGTGCGCGTTAAAGGATTTAGGACCGCCAAAGACTGCCCTTTCTGCTGCCTGACTTTTACAGTCACTTACGGTAGCCTATAATCATAGTATCACAATAGCAATGTTTTTTTTTTTGTTAATCTTTTTAAATAAATTGTGGCATCAGTTCGTTATAGTGTTTGCACTGTCACTGAAATAGCAATTAATTTCCTGGTGTAATTTCTCGAACGGTATTGTGTGATTTTGCCTATTTGGAAAGCCTAGTAAAAGTAAAAAAAAAAAAAAAAAAAAAAGTCTAAATATAAGTGAAATAGAAGCGCTCCTTCTGTAATCCATCACCTAACTCTTGTTTAAAAAAAAAAATATCTCAGTGATATAATGTCAAATGAACGTTTTGTGATTTGTGACTATGTGCCACAGGTGACGTAATACAGTCGCTTTCCCTGCAGAGGGAGCAAACACTTCGTTTTTAACAACAGCACTATAAAACGTCTGTTGCAAAGTTTCCTTTGCAACATTATTTCGCTTGATCCTGGAACTCATCGGGGGGGGGGGGGACCTCTTCTTCTGCTTCAGGTTGTACAACAAGAACACAGGCAGTGTGGTGAACGTCGTCGTTATGAAATACAAATAAAGAAAAGATTGTTGTCACCTTGAATTCACCTGCCAATATTTCAAAACACGTGTATTTAATTTAAAGTAGTACAGGATTTTTTTTTCCGTTGCAAATCATATACTTGAGTATTTAGGCTATATTTCAAGACACTTAATGCTTAATTCTCCAGTATTTAATGGAGGCTAAATATGTATATAGGTCCATATAAATTAAAATACTTTGCAGGAAGTTTAAGAGATAAAGCTTAAAAGGCATGGAGACCAAGTAGGTCTATTTATTAAACTACTCCACAATAATAGGCTTATCATTTAATAAATTATTGCAGGGTAAGAATGTCTACTTTGGCTCCCAGCAGGATGTGTTTGAATGTTGACTGTTTATAATTGGACGCAATTTCTGCTGCAAATTTGTGTAGGAACTTTCACTGAGTGTAATAATCCCATTTTGGTGTTGGGGTTGGTTTAAACATTCTTGGCCCAATGGTTTGTTCCCCAGGCACGCCCACTATACATGGGCGAACACATCTCCTGTGTTGTCGAGGCATTACACAATGTAAACGTGCGATGAATGAAGAACATGTAAGAAAGAAACCATTTTTTCATGTGCCAGTGGAAGGCATTATTCTCTGTCCACAGTCATAAAAACATTAATGTCAGAAGTAAATGAAAAAACCTATGACTGTCTCTATTTATTCAGATAAAGATAAGCTGTTGAATACCATAGGTCAGCCTATTTACGTTTGTCTGCACGTAGCCTACCGTATCACCCACTTTCACTTTATCAAGAACTGCACGGTGCACGCCATGGATTACCGGAAGGAATTAGACATACAGTAGTCTATTTGACGTTTATAGTCAGTATTTTGTTCAAATGCAGCTAAAATTAGAGCCAGGATCTTTTTCGGTTGAGTCCCTTCCATGTATGGACGGACATTGGCCTGGATTTCAAGGGTATGACCTTATTTGTGACTGCCTGAAATCTGCGTTTCGTCTTGGAAAAACCTGGTATCAGTATCAGTGTTCATAAAATCATCCCAACCCAATTTTTAATGAAGGATTATGATTTAAACAAAAGCATTTATTGAAGGAATTAAGACCAATAGAAAGTCAGTCAATCTTATTTTTTTTTTCTCGTTACAATGAGTGGTTAATAAAAAAAAAATAAAAAAAATAAAAAAGTGATAAAAAAATAAATAATAATAATAATAAAACAGGAATAGACAGTCGTTGCTTTTAAATAGTATGAAATCCTATGATGTTATGATGTGGTCATCAAATGAGATTGAATTCCGGGGGAAAATCTCAACAGATTGGTGTTAGGTAAAAAAAAAATCGGTTACATCACCTTCAAATGTGTGTGTGTGTGTGTGTGTGTGTGTGTGTGTGTGTGTGTGTGTGTGTGTGTGTGTGTGCGTGCGTGCGTGCGTGCGTGTGTGTGTGTGTGTGAGTACGGACTAAGCGCTTTATTCTGACAGGCGCTCATGTCTCCGTCCTATTGGGTCCAGCGCTCATGGGTGGACTGAATAAATAGGGAGAGAGATGCGACTGAGGATGAGAAGAGTGCTGGAGCAGCAGAAGAAGTAGGAGGCATAGTCTGTAGTAGCTGCTCATCATAACTCAATGCAACTGGACTCTGATAGAGCAGCATCTGAACTCTCTGTTTACTACAATTAGCTTTTTATGCGCTCTTTTCGCTTTTTTTTTTTTTTTTGTGTGTGTGTGTGTGTTTATATGAGCTTTGTTAGCGTTTCGTGTGTGCACTGTGAGCCAAGTTGATCTGTGTGACCTGATCTGTCCACCTTTGCGCTGCAAACAGGTTAAAAAGACGGAGACGCTTTACTTTATTTTTGATAGATTGAAAGCTCGGTCAAGATGATGATAATCATCGCGGAGTTCTTCGTGGTCATCTTGAAGGTGCTCTGGGCTTTTGTCACCGCCGGGGCCAAGTGGGTTGTGCGGCCGAAGGAGAAGAGCGTGGCGGGACAGGTGTGCGTGATCACCGGGGCTGGAAGCGGCCTCGGGCGGCTCTTCGCCAAGGAGTTCGCCCGGAGACGCGCGATACTGGTGTTATGGGACATAAACAGCCAAAGCAACGAGGAAACAGCGGAGATGGTGCGGCAGATTTACCACGAACTGGACACTCCCATTACCAAAGACGGTAAGAATGCTTTCCTTTGCAGCAGTCAGGGTGTCATCTGTGTTATACGCATGGTCAGCAAAACCGCGTTCAAAGAGTTATTCTGCACGTTTCAAGGATATTAGCGACGGTTTGCATGTTTCACAGAGCTACTGAGAAATGGCTGCAATGTCTCACGTGCTTCCCTGCACACAATCTCAGATTTACACTTCTAAAAGCATGTTTTGGTTGGCTCTTGTGTGCAACCTTAAGACCTCTTTATCATGCATGAAAATCCCTGCATAGTTTTTACTTGTGCAGGCTGGCACAATGTGTAAACCACCTGCTGATCAAACTTTTTTACATGATCGCTGTTTTCTCCCTTACAGGACCTGTTGGAGGTGTAGAGGAGGTCCCTCCTTTCCAGCCACAGGTCTACACTTATGTGTGCGATGTGGGAAAGCGGGAGAGTGTGTATTCCACAGCCGAGAAGGTGCGCCGAGAGGTGGGAGATGTGGACATACTTATCAACAACGCCGGTGTTGTCTCCGGCCATCATCTTCTGGAGTGCCCCGATGAGCTGATCGAGCGTACCATGGTAGTCAACTGCCATGCACACTTTTGGGTGAGTTGATGCAACATAACATAATCAAGTGATTACTAGAGTAATTTAGGTTGTAAGTGGATGTTAGGACTTGCAGTATATGATGGATTACATCTGCATCAGTTTCCATGAGCACAGTGTTATCAATGTGTTTACAGTGAAGCTAGATTCTCAGGAATGTTTCCAGTCTGTCTCGCATGCCTATTCGTAATCATCTCCTTCTGTATGCCAAACTCAAAAATCCAAGGTGTGTCAGAATGTGTGTCTGCAGGGTTTAAAAAAAAAAGAAAAAAGTCTGATCCTAAATACTTCCCATTAATGTTCAGATTCCAACACTATTGTGTTTAATTCTGTCAGAGGAAAGTCACAGGTTTGGCTTTTTTTTTTTTTTAGTCTTTGCTCTTTTGGCAGCCTGAGTCTGTGATGATCCTTTCGGTATGTCAGCCCCTTTCTTCTTCTCTCCTACGCCACCTCGCATATCTGATCAAATCTTGACTTATCGTGCTGTGAGAAGGAGGTTCTGTATATACAGGGGTTGGATCTGTATCAAATCAGCTTGCCATATTTTGTTGGCAGGAAGTTATTTGTTGTATATCACTTTTTTTTTTTTTTTTTCTCTGGCTCCTTTTCTTCTGTGAATAGTTATCTGAAAGGCCACGTGAGATTGATGGAGGGAATATGGTGCACTAGATAAACATGAGCTGCATTTTGAACCGGCCAGGTGCTATAAAAGCTTTGTGTGTGTGTGTTTGGATGGAGAGACGGTGGTTGCAGCAGCTTTCCATTCCACTGAGAAGAGTGATCTTAATGAACTTGGAGCTATTTGCTGTTGAAGCCCCTCTCCTCCCATGTGAACTAAAGCAATAATAATAATTGATTTCATGACTGGGCTACAACCACCGCTAAGGGACAATCACAGTGATGGTATACAAACTGGTTTAAAGACTGATTGCAGTGTAAATGTAAGGGCCGAGGATGCCATTTGAATTGACTGTTTGTCTCAATATATTGAGCGATGTGTCCAGTGACGCACGCGGCTGATGCTCGTTTTTTGAGTTTTGCCACAGGCTCTCATAAACCTGCATTCCCATGAGGCCACTGATTGTAAAGCTACCTAATTGAGCATGCAAATCTCTTGTGTTGTCTGTGAGACAGGTTGTGTTTTTTCCCCCTCCTTTTTAATGACTCTCCATTCATGTGTCTCGCCGCCGGCCATCTCCACGATCTTTTACATCCGGGATTCGGAGTCAGGATCCAGTGGTTGGGTGGCAGATTTAGGATTTTTAATAGGGGTCTGTGTTTGTGTTCACTCGTACTCTGTGGAGAGGGTGGTTTTTCTTTAGGAGGGGGTGGGAGGGCAGATGAAAGAGGGACTTAATGAATGGCGACAGGCAGAATGGAGGATGTGGTTCATTAAAAGACACAAGCTAGATGAATAGAGCTTAGATTAACAGGGATCTGTCCACTTTCCTCTCTTACACAAACACAGTACGGTTAGGCACTGCATGCAGGTGCTACATTACACTCACTTTTGTTTTCGTCCATTTGGAACAGCAGCATGTATTTAATGGCCCAATTGTGGTTTATGACTCAAGTAATACCTTCATTTATTTTGGTAGATGTTCTTTAATCCTGACAAAATTCGAAATAAGACTCCCTCAGCCTTTGCCATTTAATTATTTAAAAAAAAAGAAAATAGGTGTGCTTACTCCAATGTTCTTTTTTTCTAACAAAAAAGTGATGAGAATTCTTCCAAAAAATGTTCATCGTTAAGTTTAAGTGGCAGAACATCTTAACGACTGGCCATGCAGGGAGGCATGAAAGATTTAATGTCACTCCCAAAAAAAAAAAAATCGCAACCCTGCATCTATCCAAGCTAGACAATATAAATCATCCCGCATGAAGTCTTGACACCAGCTTTAAAGCTAATCCCAATATTTGAGAATGCACCACAGAGAGTCTCACAACAGTTTCCAACAGTTGTTACAAAGACAATGATGGAGGCATTACAAGGAAATTGGATGGTTATTTAAGTGAGTGTGTCTGTCAGAGCCCACACTGCTTCGGTCCTCCTTCCTCAGGCCCCTCTGACCCCTCCCAACCTGATTTGGAGGCAGTGGGTGCAGCTGCATGGCAGTCACGGAGGTTGTTCATCTGGCTCTGCCACACACACACACACACACACGTGCACAAGCAGCTATGATTCAGTCCCTTGCTCCTTTTTTTTAAATTCTTTTTTTCTGAGACAGGGGATCGGAGCTTTTAATTTGTTTGATGATGCTTTGATTAGTCCAGCTGCAGATTTGTGAGGTCTGAGTCTCAGTTTTGAGTCATTCCGGGATGGGTAGTGTGTAGTCTTTTCAGGAAATGTCCCCAGAGTTTGCGTTCTGAGGATTAGTGTTTGTCTAGTGGAATGACATGAAAGGAAATCATCCGCAGCATCTTGAGCTGGTTATCCAACAGGTGGCTCACAAACGATAAGCAGTATTTCCGCAGCCTCTTGCTGAAATCCAACCTCGCTGGTCCAATTACATGACTGAGACATGGCGGGAAAAGAGCAGAGGAAAGAAAAGCGGAAGGAAGGCAGTGTCGGCCCATCCACAGGCGAAGGCGAGAGGGTAATGGTGAGCTGCTGCTGCTGCTGACCCACTTTATGTGACAATTGCTTTCTTGTCTGTGGATCAGCCTGACAAGATGCCAGGCGACAGGAGCCAAGTTCCACAGGCGGCATTCCTGCTGTAGCCAGAGAAAGGAGCCAGCCAGGCAGAAGGGTCCTACTTGACTGGTTTTTATGGGCCCCTCCTCAGGCCTGGTGCACCTGTACCCCTGATTGGATCAAGCCATCTTTGGTCTCTCTCTGACCAGGTACCTGTTCATATCCCAAAGAGTGGTTCAGGGCAAACACAATCATCTTCTATCATTATCTATTACTCTACAGAATGTTGGTTGAAAAATGGTTGAAAACATTCAGTTTACTTTCATGTGATGAGGAGCAGCATTGACTCCTAATGTTTGAGAAGCTTGAATCAAACATTGCTGACTTTTTCCCTCGAAAAGGGACTAACTTATCAATGAAAATGGTTGGTTTTTGTTTCATTTGGTGATGGTTTTAAATTCTTAGAATGGGGAGCGGAGGAACATCAAAAAGTTAACACATCAATTTGGATCATTTTTAAAGAGTAGCATTTTGGACCAATTCTATCTCCCTGACCCTGACGTTACAGTACTGTTACTGCATTCATACATAGATTTGAGAGCTTTAAGGCTATCTATTTCCAGAACAGTCCTTTTAAAAAGTGGAGGTGTGTAGTACATCGACTATACTTCCTTCCTGGATTATTGATGTTGTTCCTTTCCAGGTAAATTGGATTCCAGTTGTTCACGCAGGGGGGGGGTTGAGGTTTAGTCAACTGTAGCAGAGGCTTACGGACCACCACAACATGACCAATCTCCATCCATCACCCTTGATGTCCAGTAAACCCAGCCCACTCAAATTCCATGTTCTGTTGTAGGATCAGACGAGCTCTCGAGCTCTGGCGTTTTTCTCTTGTCCGGGGAGAAGTCAGCCCAATTAAATGGCCATCTGGTCCAACGCAAAGGCCAATATTTTGTTCATATTCCCATTGCACTAATGCATCCTGACACCCCAGCTGCAAGAAGCTTTGTGTGGCTTAAATGCTCCTGGGGGCACGCACCAATTAGGGGGCGCAGTGGGCAAAGCACCCCCACATAGGCCAAGGAGGCCCGACTGTGTCAGTGGGTAATTTAGTGGAACAAGGAAGCGTTGAGACCCAATTACGGCCACTCTGATGTAGGACACGAGCCCCTGGTTGCCTTCACACATTTTGTGTCTGAGAGGTCAGCGGGGGTCATACCAACATGCCAGAGCTGCCATGAGAAGCAGGATCTCGAGCGAGGCTGGGAGAGGGAGATGGGGTGTTTCTTCAAGTTGAAGTTCTTCCTCCAGATGAGAGAACCAGCGTTTTCTCCATCAGTTCCAGTTACTTTCACACCACTCAGCAAAATTGTCCAGTTGTATCTGAGTTTTGGCACCGGGCGTACAGTATTGTGCCAGATCAAGTCATTCCGCACTCTCTGACAGTTTCTGTGGGAGTGGGGAAACTTTGGCTCAAGTCAGGTATGGGTATATCTGAAGTTAATGCTTCATTTGCACGCAACTCTCTGCGTCATCTGCTACCATTCTGGCTTGCAGAGGCCTTTCTCAGCTTTTACCCAGAGCTTTGTGTTCTCTCGTTCCCTCTTTGGGCCTCATCATCCAATGAGTTAAATATTTCAGGAACTTGAAAATTTATGTTCTGGAAAAAGTGCAGATGTTTGGAACCGAGTCCGATCAGTTCCAGTGTACCAGGTTATAGAATAACGCTCGAAACAATGAAGTCATTTTCTCGGCCTAAATCGGACTCATCGCTTCCAGTTTCACTTATCTCGCTGAACGAGGAGAGAACATGTCTAAATACAGATGTGAAGTGAAGAGGAGATGACACTACAGTGGAAGTCAGAAGATCCAATGAAGTTAAGCTCTTGATGCAGTTTTAATGAGCCCCCCCCCCCCCTCCTCCCTTGCCAGTGATTTCATGGTCTGTACAACCTGGTACCATGCACTCTCTGGATCTTGCAGTAAATGTTTAGAAAGGAGGCAGCATTTCTCTGGCCAGGTTTACACACCGTTCCAACTGATGAAACACTCACTTTCCATTGGTAGGACCACAGAGGAGTCGGAAGATGGGAATAAAAATGTCATGTCAAGTAGTAAGAAAAAAAGACACCCTCACAAAGCAGTCTAAATATTCATTTAAAATGAGTATTGAGTAGAGTCTAGACCTGCTCTAAATGTAAAGTCATATAGAAATTGATCCTATTTAATTAACAAATGGACTGAAAATTGATTGACATGTTAAAATGATTAATCCACTGCTTAACTACTTGTTGCTGCACTGTTGAGAACATTTGTTGTTTGTGATTTAATTCGTCCTCTGCAACCTCCGTGATGTTTTTCAAAAAAAAAAAAAAAAAAGAAGGGTGTTGGAGCCTTCACGCATTGTTCTTCACCATGGCACTGTCTGACTTGAATGGATCTAGCGGAGCGCTGAACAAAAGGCACGCTGCTTGTTTGCAGACCTCCCAGTGGGAGAGTGATTGGTCAGTTCCTATCATTGCCGTCACATGTCACACCTGCTGATTGGCTCATGCTGTGTCCAACGTCAGCAGACGGGCCCAGAATGAGCAACGGATCCATCGCTTAATCAACTCCTCCCTCCTTTTTTCCCTTTCTGTGAATCTCTCTGCTGGGGTTTCCTATTCTCACCATCTCTCTCTCTCTCTCTGTCTCTCATTGGGCCGGCTGGTGGAAGTCACTCAGGGTTTCACGTGGCAGTCCGGTGAAACTCTTTCATCTCGGAGCTCATCTTGCCGTCGATTGTTCTGCTGCTCGGACGGGGCGCAGGGCTGTGTGGGTAGACGGGGGGCTGAATTGTATTGTTGTTGAGTGAACGGAGGCCTATGATTGGTGTTGTCACCAAGTCTTTAGAGCCAGGCTGGACAGCGGGCATCAGATCTGTGTGGGAAAAGAACAGATTGTACAGCAGCAGCACACCAAATACCTGTTTGGTTCAGTGAAAGCCTTACAAAGGGGAAACCCAAACTCTTTTCTTCTCTCAGCATCCAACTCACACCTACCAAGATGGGGGGGGAAAAAAAAAAAAAAGTGACATTTTTATTTTTAAATGCTGCACCTTCAGTGCTCAGACTGATCTTTATTATCACGCCTGTTATGAATTCTCATTCAGACGCCTCTCTCTGCATCACCATGGAGAAGCAGGAGAAACACAGGGAGAGGGAGGCAGAGAGGATCAAAGGGCTTTGGCACAGACAAACTGCACAAGTGAACTAACCTTACTCTTTTTCTTTCTCTGCCCTTCTGTCTCTTCTGTCCTCCCTCGCAGACCACCAAGGCGTTTCTCCCCAAGATGCTGGAGCTGAATCACGGTCACATTGTGACGGTTGCCAGCTCCCTGGGTTTATTCAGCACAGCTGGAGTGGAGGTTAGTATCATACACAACAACACTTACACATCCCCATCGTTCCCACCATCCAAAACCAGTGCTTTTCCTCCAAAATGCCCAGCGTGCCAGCAAGCACACTGCGCTGGGGGAGGTTAGGCCCCCTTTCTCTAGTTGTCCCTCCACCCGTTAAATTAAGGGACACACATGAGCGTTGGGGAGCCTCTTATAGATTCTTCTATCTGCAGCAGTGGGGGTGTTGGGGCCCCTATTGGGTTCTGCCCCCGGGGCCAGAATGAGCTGACAGCTCCCCAAGGGACAGAGACATCTTCATCACTGCTTTGTGAATAACTCTGTGCCCACTCAGTATTCAGCTCACACGGCGCTCGATGGATACGGTTTTCCTTCTTATATATATATTTTTTTTGCTCCTAGTACAGATTCTTTTTGTCATTTTTTAACACACAGAAAAATACTTAGTGGAGTCATTTATCGCCATAACTACAGAGGCAGTCAATCGGTAGCTTTCATAGAAGAGGGGTTCACTTGAATATGACGCCAGGGCGATAAATGATAGCCGTGTTTTCTGAAATAAGATTGTCTGCAGAGGCTACTACTACATTCGTCTTTGTTTTCATAGCTGCTCTTTTGCTTTCGTTGCACAAGCACTCAAACATAACGATTAAGCCCCCTTCAAAGGCACTAAACGTTTAGTCAGTTTTTTGTTAAGCTATTGTGCTTCCTGGAAATGCCTCAAATGTGATTTCAGACACAGGCATTAATTTCAGGGATCCAAAAGCCCCTCGCCTATTATGTTTGCACAGTCAAATCTCTTTATCCTCCCAGTGTTTATCAACATGCATCTGTGTTTGCACAAGCGGGGTTTTTTTTATATTTTTTTATTAGAAAGATTATTTCCCCGGCGAACCACATCAAAAAGCTTTTTCCTTCAAGCTGAATAGTCTCCTGATGCACCGGAGAAGAATGCTAATGAAACCGTAGAGCGGCGGACAGGCTTGTTCAGGCTTTTTTTTGTGGCTGTATCATTAACAGCAAGGAGAGCCCTCTGAGCCCGCGGGGCATGTTTGATAATGTTCTCTGCCGTCCCTGGGTGCAGACTTTTACAGGGCTAACCTGTTCTCTCTTTATTTCCCACAGGATTACTGCGCCAGTAAGTTCGGTGCCATCGGGTTCCACGAGTCGCTGAGCCATGAGCTGAAGGCCTCCGAGAAGGAAGGCATCAACATGACTCTGGTGTGCCCTTACCTGGTCGACACGGGGATGTTCAAAGGCTGCAGGATAAGGTAAGCTTGGCCAGTTCTTTTTTATTTTTTTATTTATTGAGTGTGTGCGAGGTTCTCATTTATTTATTTTTTTCTTGAAAGCTTTCTTGCACCTGGGATGAGTTTGTTCTCTAATTTTCACCATCTAAAACGGCCTCACAAAGACCTTTTGAACTTCAAAGCAGCAGCTGACTTTGTTTTTTTTTTAAGAGATATTACAAAGTCAATTTCATGCTGTTGGTCAGTGCTCTGCTTTAAACAAAAGGGGCGACTTTCCCTGGGGAAACCTCACCAACAGGTGCACCTGTACCCCCCCCCCCCCCCCACCCCCTCGCCCCCTCCTTCCCTCCTGCTGCTGTAATAGTCCTCACTTTGTTTGATGGTTACAGTCAGCAGGTGGCACGCTCTCTTTGCTTTACTTTACTGTCCCTCCGCTGTGACTGTGGACTAAGAAGCATTAAGCAGCATCTTTTTTTGTCATTTTTAGCTTAATTAAAATGTGTTTTTTAAAATTAATTAAAAAATCCATTGTCCCTGAAGTTTCTGGTTGTATTTGAATTTTTTCATCAACAAATTTCACTTTTTAATCCATTCTCAGTCAATTTGATTCTAAGCTTCCTGAATTTTAGGCCTCTGTCAACACTGTGATCAATCACTATAGCTTTAGGCAAATAACCGTCAAACACATTTTAAAAGAATACAAGGCCTTACAAGCTTATTCGAAAGAAATTAAATGTTTTCCACGTCAGTTTCTGAACTTTCTCAATCATTTATTTACCCAGAAAATGTCAAAATCTTTTCCATTTGAAGTCAAATTGATTTAAAGTAAAGAAATATGGCCCTATTATTAACTCATCTGTCATTTCTGTTTCCATGAAGGAAGGAGATCGAGCCTTTCCTGCCTCCCCTGAAGCCAGAGTTCTGTGTGAAACAGGCCATGAGGGCCATCCTCACTGACCAGCCCATGATCTGCACGCCTCGCATCGTCTATATGGTCAACTTCATGAAAAGGTGCGCTGCCTCCTTACATCATCCTCTTCCTGCTTTCTTTTAAACATATCTTACTTTAAGTTTCTACACAGTCCCTCAGTGCACAGGGGAAATGTATTGTATCACTAAACTTCTCCGTCCTGTCTCTCCGCAGCATCCTGCCCTTTGAGGCCATCGTTTGCATGTACCGGTTCCTGGGGGCCGATAAGTGCATGTACCCCTTCCTTGCCCAGAGAAAGGAGGCCATGAACAACAACGAGGCGAAGAACGGGATCTAGGAGGCGCTGTTTGTAACCGGAACAGAGGCACATAAAACCTGAGCGCATGAGGAAACAACCACTGAGGAAGAAATGGGGTGGGGGAGGAAGAGACGGAAGGAAGGAGACTGAATCTAGACTGGTGCACTTGCATTGAGCAAATGCAATGGTTTACCATATTGTTCCTCTGGGACAAAGAAAGCTGTGTACTACATAAAAGATTTATTTGACTTTGTCTTTTTTTTTAAGTTGAAAGAAACCAACATGTATATTCTGTGTCACTAGTTTTGAAATCATACAGATAAAGGTCTTCAATAATTAACTATTTACCTAATGTAGTCACCAGCCTTATCTAGTGTCATTGTGGAAATATACAGTATGTTACTGTACAAACAGTAAAAAAAAAAAAAAATTCACTTTTATTTTATTTTTGTAGACATGCACTGTAATTTCTGATTTTTCTTCTCTACACTGCCCGCATTCTCTTTGTAGGGAAGTCCAACTCAGCATTTCAAATTTCCCCTTCGTCTCCCCATGCAGAGGCTCTTTACGTTCAGCTTGTGCCATACAACAAAGTAACATTCAAAGTTGACCATATTCTGTTGTTACATACTTCATTTACAGACATGTAGCGTATATGTTTATCATGAAGTCTACACATTCCCGATGGGACTTCTGAAGGCCAGATTGAGGCGGATGAAATCTTTCTAGGAGCGTCCGGAGTAATGAGTTCTCATCCGTTTAACAGTCCTGTTATTTCAACATCTCTATTGACTGAACTCTGGAATGAAAGTTACAGAGTGCGTCGATGTCCTTGGTTTAGCTAGGATGTGTGACACATTGAGAATGTACTGCTTTGGGAGAAACAGAGTAGAAATTGCATTTTGATTTTCCAGATCTGCAGTGTTTATATTGTAAATTTATCTGTTATCAATATTATTTGTTTGAAAAGAAAAAAAAAAAAAAAGACCCAATGTAGGTGAACCGCTGTCCCAACACTGATGTTTGGTTGAGGGAAATGCATTAAGACACTAGTGCTCCATTGATTCCAAAGTAACACTTTAAGTCCTGCCCATTGTTCACCTTGTCCAGTTAAAGTGAAATGTAAATGTTGTAATGTTGTGAGTACCCCGGTATCCCAAACTGACTGTCTCCATTATATTTGATGTATGAATATTTTATATACTTTTTTTTTTTTTTTCGGGACGGCAAGAGTTTATGAATTTCAACTACATTCCAACAGGCGTCATTCGTCCAGTCACAGTGATGAGCCTAAATTCTCTACCTCTTAATTTTTGCCATTTTTTTTTTTATTTTGACAGTATGACATAAGCCTCTTTTTTTTGTAATTTTCTGAGCAAATGTGGTTCCAATGTTTAGTGTCTCTACCTAACTTAAATTAATAAAAGTAATTTAGATTATTAAACATTGTGTCGTTATTAGCTTGCAAGTTTGCATCTGGAAAGTCAACCTGAAGTGGCAGGTTACAAAAACACTTGAAATGTAGTATGTGTGAACACCCACATGCTTTTGTTACTCAAGCTGCTATTAAATGTGTCACGTGAAGAAGGGGAAAGTACTTGTTATGCCAAACTCGGGGAATTAACACAACCAGCGGGAGAATTTCCTGCACTGCTCATGAACCTCTTGGGCAGTTTTTCATTGTAATGATTAAAAACCACCCAGCCCTTTCCTCCTCTTTTGACTAGTATCGGTATCACTGTCCTCTCACATTGTGCTTAATCGTGACTCAGGTAGCCTCTAGATAAGGGTGTGGCTAAGAAGGACAAGTGACTTGTGAATTTGAAAGTACAAATAGTGAATGTGATTTCTCAAAGAAAGCATGACTAACAGGGGTGTCATGCTGTGCAAACGGTAAATTGGGTAAGAATATTTGAACCAAATCAGCAGGACTTGGGTTAGCTGTTATGTGGACGATCTCTGACCTTTTACTTCCCCATAGCGAAGCAAGAAAAAAGCACCAGACGTCTTACTAGGTGTCAGTTTAGTATCACATGAAGATCTCATGCGCTTCATCTATACTCACATGTTCAGCTGCCGAGTTGTTTGTCCAAGTTTTGAGGTCATGTCCTGAGTCTTTGTCAGGAGGTATGGGATATTAGTGACCTTTAGTTGAGCTTTTTCTTATGTAGTAGAAGTTCCTCATGGTTGTTATTGAGCTGGGTGAAAAAAAAAGACTAGATGTTATTCTGGGGTGTGAAAATCTTGGTATACCCAGAGAATATCTGCAGACACTTCATGGACAATCATTTCAATAACAATTATTTCTGTCTAAAATGACTTTTCACATGAAAATATAATTTACCCTGTTAATAAATCTGGGTATATGGCTACATATCTACTTCTTAATAATAATAAAAAAAAGATCTGTAATCTGTACATATGCATACATTTATACATACAATTACAATTTTAATCTCGTCATTTTGATAATAAATTTTGTATAATCACATTTTAATGGCATGTTTGAATTACCATTAACTCACATTTAACAAAAAAAATGCTGGGCTTTTATTTTGAATTTATGTACTGTGTTAAACTGAGAGTACTTTCGGTTTGAATTCAAACCTGCTTTTATTTTGAAATAAAGTAAGGACCTTCTGGTAGACCGAAAGTTACGACATTAACTTGACTACTGGAAGAGAAAATGTCAATAATTAAAAAAAACTGAATGAATGGGGCGCAGATGGCCTAGAGGTTAGGTGGCACCCCATGTGTGGAGACAAAGTCCTGGAAGCGTGCAGCCTAGGTTCAAGTCTGAACTGTGGCTCCTTTCCCGAAACTCAGTCCCCACTCTCTCTCCCCGATCAATCCACTGTCCTATTGAATAATGGCAAAAAAATTAACGAAAACATCTAAAGGGAACGTTTAAAAGTCAAATGTTTGATGTCATGGTGCATATCACTTCTGACTCATCAGCTGAGCTCCTCAGAGTTTTTTCTGAAGTTAAATGAGATGTTCAAAGACGCAGCAGTGTCGTTCTTTTCCATCACTGTGACTACAGGGACACACTGCAGAGGCGTATCCACGGTGCGCCTAAAGGGACAAAATAGCATGTGATTAAAAAGACCTTAATTGATTGTGATTAAATAGTTAATGCCCTAGTGATTTCAAAATAAATCACAGAGGGGAAGCACAAAGAAATGTTTCTTTGCAGCTGACTCAAAAGATCTGCGTGTTTATCATTTTACATTAAAAGCATCAAAATTAAAACGGTTCATGTTTCTTCTTCAGGAATACATCACTGTACTTTTTGAGTGCAGTGATCTTTGAAATGAGCTCCCTTTAAATGATCCCTTCAAGTAAATAGAATATGATATGATTACACAGTTTAACTGATACACGTGAAATACCAAGAAAAACTGTTTTTTTTTCCCTCCTGCAGAAAAGTCTTAAAATAGAGTCATGAGTCAAGGCCTGAACACTTGTACATTGTGTTTCTAAATCTAGGTCAGACAGTCATGATGTCACACATCTCCAATCTACTGTCATCTTTAACGTTTCAATAGAATATGATATGATTACACAGTTTAACTGATACACGTGAAATACCAAGAAAAACTGTTTTTTTTTCCCTCCTGCAGAAAAGTCTTAAAATAGAGTCATGAATCAAGGCCTGAACACTTGTACATTGTGTTTCTAAATCTAGGTCAGACAGTCATGATGTCACACATCTCCAATCTACTGTCATCTTTAACGTTTCTCAAACAGCCGATCAATTCTCCAGGAGTCAATTCTGGTACGTGTCCTAAACCAAAACGGAGCTCTGTGGTGAAACTCTGTCCACACAGATTATACAGTCCATCTGTAATAAATCTCCATCAACAGCATAATAGTTCAGATACCAGATCAAGAAGGAGCAGGAGGTTTCTTTATGTTGGCGGGCACAAACTTATTCAGAGCCTTTAAGCTGTTGAATCCAAAATGGAGCCTGGGTGTTGAGTTATCCTCCTCACATCTGTCAGTGCGGTAGCAGACACTCATCTCTCTACAAAAACTAATCGATTTCTTGCTCAGCGACAGAGAATCCACCCGTCCGGCAGACTGCGAGTTCCTCTCCAACCTCAGCGGTGCATTATGGGGAAGCGTGGCGATGTCAGAGCCTGAGCAGCACACATTGCTCCTCTGCTGTGACTAATGGAGGCTGGATAAAGTTGCTCAGTGGCAGATTATCTCTAATATGAGGGGAGAGCTGTACTGACAGTTTAGATCCCCTTTGTGGACAGAAGCAATCAGTGGCAAGTGCAGACACTCCAGGACTCTGCGTCGCTCATAACGGCCTCATGGTGCAAAAAAGGGCTTAATTTAAGCACACACAAAAATGCTCATCCACAAAAGAAACTATCAAGATTTTGGCTAAAATCCTAGCACATTCATTTACTGCTAAATGATTCCCCTCACTCTTTATCCTCCTGTTAATTTAAAGGACTTCAAGGGGGTCGATGGCACATAATTCAGCCAGAAAAATCAATGATTTGCTATTGCGTGGCACGGACAAGCTCCACCGCCCCATTGATTTTGTTCTATTTTGGGCATTTAGGTTCACTTCCCATATTGGCTGGTTAGAGCCGAGCAATTCATCTTGGATCTAACATGGCCTCAAGCTGCTCAGCCACTACCTGAACAAGCTTCTGGAATAGAGATCTGCCGCTAATGTGTGTGAACAGCCTTGGCGCTCCTCAATGGCTAGCAGATGTAGCTGCCAGCTGAGTCCATTAGTCAGTGGAGTTGAATTAGACCACCGCTGTCCGGCTCGCTCATTCATCTTGCTAATGGGATGGAGCAGAGAAGGTCTGGTGATGCAGAGGCGGCGGACTTACATGTAGAAAGGAAGTTAAGGTGTTGGGAGAATGCAACGCGGGTGTGTGATAAAGAGGGAGCACAAATATATACTGGTGCAATCAGTGCAGCAGGGAGAGATAAAAGTTGAAGATTAAGTGTCTCTATTTGGGAAAAAAACAAACACTTTTGTCCTTTGCTAAATGCTAATAGCGACCGCAGGATGAGGTGTGCTTTGAGTAGAAATGAACAGGATATGGAGATACCACACCAGAAGTTGTTACTCAATTGAAGAGAAAAACCCCCAAAAAACCCAAGAAATCAAATGATGCCGTTATCCTGAGCAATGTTCCAATAAAAGTAACCAGCAATGCTAATTAATACTTTCTGGACTTTCTCCACTTTTTGAAGTCCTGTACAAGATTCTAAAACAAAAGAAAGTATTAGTGATAAATCCACTAAGAGGCATGTTTATAAATCTGATGTGATCGGGATCGTCTTCCTAACACACATCACTCATTTAGTCAGAAGAAGCATGACGCTCCTCCCTCCTCGAGACTCAGACTCAGATATATGCAACAAGCGTTTAGGTAAGACACTAAATAATAACATCTTCAAATATTTTCAGCAGTGAATAAGAAACTTTTTTTTTTAAATATCCACTTGAGCAGCTGTAGTGTTGTAGAGTTGTTTATTTTTCAGCTTGTGTCACAGAGATTGTTTATTCTGAACCATGTGCACAGTCTTGTTTTCCCCCTCCTTTATTTTCTCACTTTTCCCTTTTTTCATTTCCCAGGGTTCCTTGTTACTACATTAATATTCAATCTCTTTATGTGTTCGACGGAGGGGGCTGAGGTGTGTATACAAGCAGCCATACAATACATAGTTTTCTCAATAAAAAAAACCTAGTAAAGTTGTGAAAGTAAAAGAAAATAAGCTGAGTAGTTTAATATCTACGGTTTGAAACTGATAGGCTGTTAGAACCCAAAGCAGAGGGATTGATGGTAGAAAATAGTCAGCAAACAATACAAAATTGGCAGGTGTTTGAGCAAAATAAGCAAAAAAAACTACAATGCCCAGCCGATACAGATAATTCTTGACTCGTATAGAAAATGAAACTACGTTTTGAGGATCTGTTTTTCTGGACCAGTGAGCATGGGGCCAAAATCAATAAATTAAATCAAGACAGTATCGTGAGACACAACGATGCATTCATTGTTTGTTTGTGCAGGATTTGTTGACACCCTGTACATTCCTTATATTTATCCTTTAAAATAAGAAATATAGTAAAATACGACTGAGGACTAAGCAGATTTCACACCTTTTCTATTTCACTTTTTAAGTGCTCATTCACTCTCTTAGAAAATGTGTGAAAAAGTAGATTTAATTAAAAAAACAATGCTCCTTACAGTCGAGGTGTGATGTTGTGTTTACACGTATTGTGAGGAGAGAAATAAGACACAGAGAAATAAGAGTTTTTTTTTTTTCCACATGAACTGAGGTGTTTTTACTGCATTTCAGTAACAGACACAGCCTTATTACACATTGCACTCACAGCGAAGAAGAAGACCCGTCCTCAATGTCAGTGATCAAAGTGAGTCAAAGTGAAGCGGCCTTTGGAGGGAGGGAGTCTGCAGATCACGCAGCCAACTCTCTTCATTTCAAAGACGCACTCCTTCAATGCAGGCATTAAAAGCACCCAGTCGATGCCTTGGCGGGTCAATACAACACACACAATGGGTGTAGATGTGATCGACAAAACTGTGAGGGGGAGAGGAGGGGACGATACACTGACACAAAATCACTGGAATGAAGAGGATTATTTTTGAATTTACTGGACATGCAGGCACGCACCCCCAAATGAAACCGTCTGGAGTTAGGACTGTATTTTGACTGGCATTGGTTGCATCTTTTTCTAGATAAAAAGAAGAACTATGGTGGCCTCTTTGCCTCCACTTTTGGGTCAGGTTTATCCTCCAGTGATGCTATGCCAGTGCGGGGTCATGTTAAACGGGGAAAGTTAGACCCTTCATGGAGTAAAAGGCTCGTCCAACCTTCCCTCCTGGGTTGGTCAACACTTCTACTGATTACTGCTAACACCAGTTTTGTCCTTTTTGTCCACATGAAAAATATGTTTTTTCTGTGTTATTTTTCGGTATATGATACTCTTGCAAGTCATACACATCCATATAGATAGATGAACTCTTTTTTTTTTTTTTTTAAATGTCAGCATACAAGGTAAGCTGGGTGACTATATATGAAGACAACAACTACAACTTTCACAGCACTGGCATTGGTTAATTTTAAATACAGTACTCAAGCATTGTTAGATTAATAAAATAACAAAAGAAAAAAAAAAAAACAGAAACAGAATACCCCCGAAAATAAGCTACTGTACGCAAGTTGGTTTCTCCCCTAAAATGTTTCTTTTGTATTTCAATGGCATGATGTACATATTTGTTTTTAACCATACCAACAGACATTGATCCAAAGGGAAAGTTGTCTATGCAGTGTCATCACTTTGGATTTCCCTTGATTTCATACAGTACCATGCATTATTCTCGTTTGTTTGTTTATTCTGTGACCTCTAAATTTTGTCTGAAATCATCAATAAACGTGTTAAGATAGCGTTGTCTTCACATAGACTCAGGTAATGGTGGTTTAGTCGGTCATTTCTCGGTGCACATCCACCCTATTGCATGTTGACAGGTTTTGCAGGATACAGTGGCAATCGTGGGGTGGGGTGGGGTGGGGAGGGAGGGAGAGTGTGGGAATTGTGGGTAGTGGGGTTGTAGGTTATAAGAGATCAGGGTGAAGGGTTTCAGGGGGGTAGTTGTCAGGTTCGTGTATGCCGAAAAGGAGGGGGTATAAGGGTTGTCAGCTCCTAGACGACAGCCTTTGAATCCTTGCAGACCTGAGTGGTGGTGCCTGAGTTAGTCTGTTTAATGTCCGTCCTCCCTCCCACATGGTTCACTGGTCTGAAAAGACAAATAAAACAAAGTCAGGGACGGCTTTTTCAAGTCAAGGTCTTAGCTAATAATCAGTCCTGCTGTTGGGAATATTGCTGTCTCAATCCCTGGAAGATACCTTCCAAAACAAGATAAGCACTTCTCGTAGAAGTAAACTTAGAACGAAAATGAAATTCCTGCCCCGGTTACTTGAGACACTTAAGAAGTCCTTGACCTCAATCTGTTTCACACGAACTGATCAGACGAGCTCCTGTTGAGCAGTTTTCTTTAGAAATCAGAAACATCTGAAGAAGGAAGAGATTCATGAAGGGGATGCAGCTGATTGTGTTGAAAAATGCATTTTGTCATATTGATAACAGCATTTATTTAAAGCAGAATGACTGAAAGAGTGTTAACAGCAAAGTACGGTTGAGTTAATGAGTGGTAGAGAAAGAAAGGGGAACCACTGGAGTGAGAAACGAGCGATTAACTGCTCAGGTGATCGTATAATTGCAGCCATATCGGCCCCTCTACTCTGATGCTGACGTAAATGAAGCTGTTATTAAGCTGCAACTGTCTTTTCTCTCTGTCTGTTCCTTTCCTCTTTCACTCTGCAAGAACACAGCCCTGCCTAGACTACTTTTTCCCAGGGCACACCTATTATGAAAATACTCCAGAAATGCTTGATTTCCTCCCTGCTTTCCAACCCCCCCCCCCACCACCACCACCACAACCACTTTCCTACTTCGTTCTCTGCTGCTGTCCTTCCTCCTTCCTTCCTCGTTGTGGAGGAGATCGACAGCAAGGGGAAATGAAGGGGTGTGGAGAAAGCCCTCTTCTCTGTCATGACTATAATGATAGCAATCATGCAAAGTATGGAGTGCTGACAGGAGTGTATTGCATGTAAATATAAACGCCTACCGTTGCTTTCCTATGGAGGAAAATGTGTGGAGGAAATGTTTGGACGTGTGTGTGTGTGTGTGTGGGCGGGGAGGTAGATGAAGATGGGGCAGCCTGCATCGCTAAGATTTTGCAATGAGCTACAATGGGCTCATACGCACATCTGGCTCCCCATTAGACAAGCATCTGCCCAACCTGATTGGCTGATTGAGTTGAAATCGTGCACATGTTGGGAAGCGTGTTGTGTCATGTGCGCTTGGCGAGATTTGGTCCTAGCGTACCTTGATGGGGCCGTCCACGGGGTCCAGTCCCTGCTCCGACAGCTGTTTCAAGGCACTTAGAGCAGCCTGAGAAAGAGAGGGAACAACAGATGGTCGAGTCAGTGAGTATAGGGAGGGAGGGAGAGAGGAAGATTGGGTGGGAGGAGAGTGAGTGTCACCCTTCAGCTGCTTTTCAAATAACACTTACTCTGGGAAACCTGATGCCAGCAGGACACTTTCTCCTCATTCTCTGTTGTCTTTGGCTCCTCTCCGCTCACTGTTTATCTTGCGTTATTGGGTTAACATTTCCACTTTATGTTTTGGCTGCTTTGCATTTTCCTAAGTCAACGTGAGTGACATCTGTATTCTCGGTGGCCACAGCTAGATAAATAGCAGCCGTTCTTAAGCACCAATAAATCATAAGAAGATCAAAACACGCAGAATGAAATGATTAGTGTGGTCAACAGCCACACTCAGTAACCATGAGTGAAAAAGTGTCTAATTATTGAACTTTAATTGTATAATGAATTATCTCAGCTCAATTTGTGGTTGAGAATGGAAAACTTCACTGACAAAAATGACACTTCACAGCCTCATTATATCAAGGAAAAGCTGTGGATTTACAGTCTGTCACATTTAGCTCAAAACCACCACCAGCCTTGTGTAGCAATCAAAAGTCCATAAAAAATATACCATATGACACTTGAGTAATTCATTGGTGCCAAGTCTCAATCAAAAATGCCATGATGTCATTTCCTTCCTGCTCATCATCCGCCTGTCTGTGCCAGCTAGAGGGGCTGCTTGTGATGTGAGGGCTCAGCGTGCTATCAGCTAATATACACGAGAAGTCAAGAGCTACATTCCTGCGCTGTATGAAGATGGACCTGAGGATACACACATTATAAATGAAACCAGAGAGGCATGGGGGATAACGTTCAATTTTCTTGACCTATATTGCAAAACACTAACTTCTAAGTGTGGATCAACTCTAGCAGGGACACTCAAGACAACTACTGAGCTAGATCTTTGATCCAAACACAACTAATGTGACAAGCAAAAACCGCTAGTCGACCACTTATAATATATAAAGTGCTGATTAAGAGGTGCCGAGATGAATGTGTTGATCTGATCTTACACAGGTTGCATGTCAGGAAAATACAGAGCTGTGTTTCCACCTAGGAGTCCAATATTATTCAGTGGGTTCCATAAACATCGGTTACTTTCATGTTTCCATTGTGAAAGGTGACAACAGAACTCCTCCATTCTGTCTTGGTTTTTCATAAACAGTAAACAGTCTAGTTTTTAGGTCCGTATACGCTGGTTTTATGGGAAAAAGTACTCTTCTTTTTTAGAACCTGAGAGTGACCTGTTTTTATTTCATTTTGATCACAGGAAGATGAAGCTTGTTCTATATTTCAATGGCTTGAGTACCTGAACAGTCTAGTTTCTTCTGCAAGAAGATGAAGTTTGGCTACTATGTGTGCATGAAAAGAGTTTGTCTGCTTGTTTTTTGTACCTTTCATGTTTTTTGAGTTAGCAAGTCATGTTGTAAATGTGATACACCAGTTTTTGCAGCTGTGTCAGATTGAGAAGTAATACTATTTGGATGGATCCCCCCCCCCCCCCTATCTGAAACACATGCCGGTACATTCTGATGAGGAACATTTCAATTCCTTATTTCCATTATTTCTTAAACATGCTCTATAAACAATTAGATTTTTTGAAAATAGTAAAACTACCTGAACAATAACCCACAATTTCTACTGCTCCACTTGATAAATAACACACATCTGGTGCTACATTGGTCAGAACCAGCCGGGATCCTAAACACTTCATCACTGGTTAATCTGAGCTGAGATAACGCAGCCATGGCTCTGCTCGGTGGATGAGTGAGATGTGACGACTGGCTGAGTTTCTTTATTAAATAGCCCACCAACGTCAGTCTGTACTTTCCTCTTTTTAGTTATATCAGCTTTTAGGCGCTGATAAATTAAATACTCCTCATGAGACACAGACGCCTCCATGTGAATAACGGTCTGTATTGAATCTTATATGCACCGAGAGGATACATTAATCACAGATTAATACTGAGATAGTATAAATCCCACTTCATGGCTTATAAATATGTCTCTATGGAATGTAATATATACAGAAGAGGATGTTACGTTATTATCTTTGTGCTCGTGCCCAAAATAATATTCAACAAATTTAACTTTGGATTATAAGTAACATAAACCAGGAATCATAATTTATGAGCGACAGGTGCAAGGGTCAAAATCTGGTTTCTATCCATCAAATTGAGAAAAAACGATTCCTAAAAAACTGCAACAATATAGCAGGACTAGTTTGAAAAATTGACATTGTTGGGTTACTACTTTCTCCAGAGACTCAGAAATCAACTGGAGCCCCTCTAAGTCTGCAGCAGACAATTTATGGTGCAATGTGTTTTTTTTCTCTGTGAAGATCTGACAGCCAGCGAGATTTAGAGCGCAAATATACTTACAGAGATTTAAGGTGACAACCCTGTAGAACATGACAGCTGAGGGAATGTTTTAACAATTACACTGTTACTTAACATAAATCAAAGCAGGGTACTCTTGTTATATTTGCTTCTGTATACATAAAGTGTCATCATTTTATTTCTAATTGACGAGGCCTGTCCACACATGAAGCGGAAAAAGTAATTAAGATAAGACAGAAAGTTTAAAGCCAGATTATGCAAGCAGAGATGATCGGGTCACCTCATACACAACAGGGAATGATCAATTTCCATTTCCTCTGGTGACCAATAAATTGCAATCACAACCAACATCCCCATGATTACCCCTTATTTGCTGTATTTTATCGGTTTGGGACTTTTCACTCCCTGAGTAAATAGCCAGAGCCCATCTGTTGGAAGGTGGTTGTGGGGGGGATGTGAGTGGAGATAAACAGCCATAAATCAGGGGCCTGACAGTGGCAGTGCTGCTGATATACGACTGGCAGGCATGAGGGCCACAGCAGCTCTGTGAAGGACACAGAGTGTAAGACAAATACTGGGCCTATCTGTGGGAATGGCAGCCAGTGAAATCATTATTTTTCTAATGAGATAAGTTGGCCATCATTAGAGGCAGCCGCTACACTGATGCATCAACACCAGAAGAGTGTGTTTAGTTTAAGGCCATGACGAGCAAGGTGGAGGTGTTCCATCTCTGTCATGGAACAAATAGAGCATAAGAGGTAGGTTAGAGACAATTTGCAGAGAAGATGCTGAGTCATCGGCAAATGGGAGAAGAATGGAATGGTGGAGGCTTTCGAAACACACACTTAAACTGAAAAAAAAATGGATCAATTGATCGCTAAGAGTCTTAGCTGCCCCCTAATGTAGGATAATTAAATTATCACTCAGGAAGATCTTGACTAGACTTGCAATTTTTGAGTTACGCTTTTGCTTTCTGGCTGCATCATTAAGAGAGCAACCACATGTCAGGCTGCAAACTTTACAGTTTCAAAATGACTCTTCAGTGTTTCTTCTTTGCAAGGTTTTAAAAGGGAGAGCAACATTATCCACAAATCTGTCGTGTGGTTTTATGATAATTATTAACTTGATAATACTTATTAAGAATAATATCAAAGAAACTTCCAAATTTCCATCAAACCACCCAACACTGATAGCACAGTGTTATTGTAAAACTTTTCTGATATAGTGTTGTGTTGTTAAATCATGGCATCAAAGGCTTGTTTTTATTGGAACCTTATAGTTCAAGGGTTGGGGACATATATATACAGTACATATATGACATATGACTCCTAATTGCTTCTAGAAGTTGTGTAAAATATTGGATTCAGAGTTACAGAAACATTGGATGCACTCCTCCAATTCTTGACTCAAGGAAATGGGGCTTTTAAAGCCACCTGTGTTGAGCTAGCTTAACGCATGTTCCAACCAGCATTAGTACCGCGTTGACATAGCACGGGTTGCTGATGTAAATGATTTCACCATTTGCAACAATCTTGACAGAACAGGTTGTAAGTAAAACATAATTATGCTGTAGAAAGTAACTCAAAATCTGAAGTTACTTAAGAGAACAATTAAATATTTTCCTTGATAATCTTCCATCTTCTCATCAGTACCTATGACATCATGCAGACACCAGCTTAGCCCCTTCAATTTGCTATAGAATAGAGTATCACAGTCACCCTCATCAGTCTTTCTTCACCTATCCTTTACTCACCTCTACTTCAGATAACAAACCAGCACTCACCATTATTCCAAGATTAGGAGCCAACCTGAAGCACCCAATGGTCACTTCACACATGGGCTCATTCATCGCTCCATCAAGCGGCCCCTAGTTCAAAGGCCTTTTACAAACAGCGCTTGAATGTGACATATCTGAGAAGGATCTGCGACCGTGGCCGAGCTCCTGATGTGGACTGACAAGGGAGGCTCATTTTTCTGGGCCTGCTGCGCTCTTAATGGCTTCCCAAACAGAGGCTTCGTTTCTGTCAGCGGCTTAGCCAAACAAAGGTCCAGTCCCCAGGGACTCCCTGGTATCATCGTGAGGGATCTGATGGATTGTTGGATAACACTGACCCTGACAAATCAGACCCTGTGTCAGATTTGACTGCTGGATTACAGAGTTTGTCTGAGGGTATGCCGTGTAAAAACAGGTAAGGTTGGACTAAATCTGATTTTAAAAATGGTTTGGTGGGAAAGAAACTAGAAAAAAGTTGGGGACAAGAAGCTTCAATCAGTCGATCTCAATCACTTCACCCTCTGGCCATAAGCAGCCATCAAAGACACCAGGGAGGTCCTAATGAGGCAAATACCAACAACACATCATTCAGTCTCCTATACTTGCACCTTTGTCTTCCGTCTTAGTTTGCTTTTCCTTAGCGTTATCAGATTATTCATCTGCTCTGCTGGAAGCCAGATGAAAGCACAGTCAGGAGTTTAAGGTTTAACCTAATGACCCAGTGAAGATAGTACAGTGCGGTATATCTCTCTTTACAAAGCAGATCCAGTCTTCCAGGGCTTTCTCCGGCTTTGTACAGTCCAGCTTGACGACTCGAAGAGCTCTCCTAGCTTATACCCAGGCCAAGAGCAT